GCAACCGCAACCGCAACCGCAACCGGGCGACACATTTCAAAGCGCCCGCGGGCTCGCAACCGCAACCGCAAACGGGCGACACATTTCAAAGCGCCCGCGGGAGCGCGCAACCGCAACCGCAACCGGGCGACACATTTCAAAGCGCCCGCGGGAGCGCGCAACCGCAACCGCAACCGCAACCTGGCGACACATTTCAAAACGCCCGCGGGCGCAACCGCAATCGCGACCGGGCGACAAATTTCAACCCGCCCTCGGGAAGGCGCAACCGCAACCGCAACCGGGCGACACATTTCAAAGCGCCCGCGGGCGCAACCGCAACCGCAAGCGGGCGACACATTTCACCCCGCCCGCGGGAGAGCGCAACCGCAACCGCAACCGCAACCGGGCGACATATTTCAACTCGCCCGCGGGAGGGCGCAACCGCAACCGCAACCGGGCGACACATTTCAAAGCGCCCGCGGGGGGGCGCAGCCGCAGGGTTTCAAAGGGGTCGATTGCGCGTGCACTCGTGCATAAGCTGCCCGCGGAAAGTGGCGCGTGGGCGCGTTAATGCGGTCTGCCGCGCGAGCGGCTTGCGTGATCCACCGCGCAAGGTCGTCGCGCAATCGATTGCAACCCCCCTTCTGATCGTTTCTCCCTGGGGGGTCAGGCGAGTGGAATTGCCTCAGCCACATCTCGGCCACGCTCGTGGGACTGCCCCCCTCAGGGTTTCAAAGGGGGTCGATTGCGCGGGCACTCGCGCGCATGCCGCCCTCGTAAGGTCGCGCGTAGGCGCTGTTACGGTGACGCGGTCTGCCGCGCGAGCGGCCAACGTGAGCAACCGCGCAAGGTCGTCGCGCATTCGGGTGCAACCCCCCTTCTGATCGTTTTCTCCCGGGGGGGTTCAGGCGAGTGGGGTTGCCTCAGCCACATTTCGGCCACGCTCGTGGGACTGCCCCCCGCAGGGTCTCAAGGGGGTCGATTGGGGGACGACAAGGAGAAGAAGGAGGAGCCACTGGCGGATTGCCCGACGACGAACCCCCGCGTGGCCCGCGGTTCTCCGCCGGGACATTGCAGCGGGGAATCCCTATTCCACGCTGCTGCCCTTGATTCCTTTTTCCCGTCTGTCATGGGAAACGTTTTCAAGGGGCTGAATGATTTTCTGATCGCGAGCGCAAGAGGAACGAGTAGGAATTTAAATTGCACGCGGGGAGAGGAGAAGAGAGACAACGAGAGAACAGCGGGAGGTGAGACAAGCCAGAGCGGGCCGCGCGGCGCTCACGGAGGGAGCCATCGGAAGCAACTAAACCGCCGGAGGTGCACGCCGAAATGGCGGATAATTAGCTGGCAGCGTGGTGTCCCGTGACTTCGGCGTGGGGCAACCCCGCGGGAGATACCGGAAGCCGCAAGCGCGTGCGTCTGTACGAGGGGCAGCACGCGGGGGGCTGAGCTCGGCAAAGGTTAGGCACCACTGCAGGGGGAGCAAGCCTTCAGGTGCGTCGGAACCAATGTGGGTGGCGGCGGAACGAGTGAGTGGCGACGACCGAACAGCAGTTCGCGCCGTGGGACAGGCAGGTCGTAAGCAGACTGAAGGGAGCCAGCCGCGCGTCGACACCAGTGAGAAGGCCAGCAGGCTGGTGGGGATACGCGAACCGTGAATAATTAGGCATAACATGCCGTTGTTTGTTCTTCGACGAAGGCTTGCACCGCCGATGCATCGGCGACTTCGGCGTGGAGAGTACCGGCTCCACATCGAGCCGCATCGCCGGTGCATCGGCGATGCGGCGCGATCCTCCGACCTCACCTGCTCGGAGCCCATCTGGAAGACGGGATGAGCGCGAGGACGCAAGGGGGGGTGATTGGGGGGGACGCCGCGCGGAGGCCTCAATACTGGCAGCGAATCTTGCAAGCCTTGACCATCTGACCACCAAAGGGTCACTCCGGCGAAGGGCCACTCTTAGACGTGCGGTCGGGCGGCAGCGCCGCGCCGCGCGCCCGCCAGGCCCCGAGAGCCGAGAGCCGAGAGCCGAAAGTCGACGACGACGACGACGACGACGACGACGACGACGACGACGACGACGACGACCACGGCGACGACGACGACGACGGCAACGACGACGGCGGCGACGACGACGACGACACCGCCGGAGGTCGGGCGGCAGCGGCGGCACACGGCGCGCCCGCCTGGCGCCGCCTGTGCGGCTCCGCGCCGCGCGGCCCCCGCGCCCGCCGCGGCGGCTGCTGCTGCTGCGCGAGCGGCGGCTGCGGGAGGCGCCCCTGCGTCGCGAGTCGGGGGCGTCCAAGAGGGGGACGTCCAAGAAGGGGCTCCAGGACACACAAATAAAAGGATTCCCTATATTTTCCTATATTTTCTGTGTTTTTTTCTGCCCCCCCCCTTTCCATATTTTTCCATATTTTCCTGGGAGTGGACGATGAATTGTGTCTGTGTGTGTGTTTTTCCCCTCCTGAGTCCAAGAGGGGGGGGGTGCAAATCGTGGCCCGAAGCACGTGCGCGGACCAGGGGGGGGGGGGGGGCCAGGGCCCGTACTGAAATAAAAAAGAAGAGGCACCATGAAAACTGGAGACATGTCATGGCCCCCGCCATGACCCCCCCGCCCCCCTACAGTCGTCACCCCCCTCTTTGCCGCCCCCCGGCGAGGGGCCGGGCGGCACCGGCCGGGCGCCCAAGTCGCTGGGCGCCGCTCGCCGCTGTCGTTGCCGCTGCGGACGCCCCGCTCGCGCGCGTCGGGGAGCGTGTTCGTGAGCCTCCTCGTCGCCGTCTTCGTCGTCGTGGCCGTCGTGGTTCTCATCGTCGTCGCCGTCGTCGAGGTCGTCGTCGTCGTGGTCGTCGAGGTCGCAGTCGTCGCAGTCGTCGAGGTCATCGAGGTCGAGGTCGCTGTCGTCCAGGGCGAGGTCGTCGTCGTCGTCGCCGGTCGTCGAGAGAAGCGTCGCTCGATGCGGTGGGACAAGTTGCAGAAAGGCCGTCCCGCCCGTGAAAGAGAAAACACATCTCCCAGCACTGGATACCGCGTCGGGGAATCCTTCTCGATTCCCCTCGTCCTCCAACTCCCTCCTCGACCATCCTCGTCCTTGAACTCCCTCCTCGATCCTCCTCCTCTTCCTCCTCCTCCTCCTCCATCTCCTCCGTCCTCGACCCGTCTCATCCTCCTCCTCCTCTATCGCCCTCCTCCTCCTCCTCCCTATTCCTCACTCGTCCTCGTCCTCCTCCGTCCTCGATCGCCGGCATGCAGGGAGTTTGCCGAATGGTTCGGCTCTCTTCTCTTTTCGCAGGGTCCTTCCCTCCGGAATGCCCCAGAGGGCTTCCGGCACACTGCCGCGCTTCTCTGCCGCTAGCCGCAGCTGGACAGACGGTCCGCTGATGCATGGCAGCAGTGGGCATCGTCGTCTCAGCGATTCTGGCCTGAAGACTATGCGACGCACAAACCTGAACTGATCGCCAACTCCGAACTGAACACAATTTGTGCAACCCACCGGCCCGTACGGGGGGGAAGGCCAGAGATGCGACATGATAAGGCTAGAACAATAAAAAAGGACATAGGGATTGGAGAAGGGAGGGGGGCGGGGCACTCAGGTTGCATTGGGGGCATCTGCGCAAGGCTTTTTGTTTGCTTATGTGCTAGGGGCACATGGTACGCTCTCGAGGCATCTGTTCGGGTTGTACGGTGCATGTTGGAATAACTTACAACATGCACATGTGCAATCATTTGGAGATCTGCACCGATTTCTTTGATCGGCGCACCCCCCCCGAGCGCTGGAGGTGCCGCCAGAGGGGTCCAGCGCAATCCCAGAATTCCGCGCGGGCGAAGCCCCAGATGTTGATGCTTAAGCTGTCCATCTGGTTCTTCCAGGCACGAGAGCGGAGGAAAGGAACACGCCCTCCAAGGGGAGAAGGGACAAATGTGTATGGATTCCTCTCCAAAGGTGCTCTCTGGCCGAAATTCCAAGGGAAGGGCAGCAGTATCGGTACATTCCCCGAAACAGTGTTCGCACTTGGAGCTTCCTACTTTTCTAACTAATGGACTGGACGGGCCCAGAATTTAGGTCAGGCGTGCCCCCCTACAGGCGGGTTTTGGAGGAAAGCTCAAACATACCTGAAACATGTTCAAACATGCTCAACAAATACCCGTAAAATCGTCCCCCGAATATGTTTTGATGATTTTGCATGTTTCTCCTGTGGAGGGATAGGCCCGACTTGAGTCCAGCAAGGTTCCGCCACGATGCCACCCGTGGCAACCTCGTGCGCTGGCTGGCTCCGGCGAGGTCGTCACGGTGCCGACCGTGGCCGCCTTGAAGCCACCCCTGGCCTGCACCACGCATGCTGCACCACAGAGCTTGCACAGAGGCCTCCCGAATGGGGTCCGAGTAGATGGGGTCGGAGGATCTCGCCGCATCGTCCATACATCGGCGATGCATCGGCGATGCACTGGCGACGTCGGCGATGTATCGGCGACGTCGACGTGAAGCAAATCGACATCCGCATCGAAATGCATCGCCGATGCATCGGCGATGCGGCGCGATCCTCCGACCCTATCTACTCGGACCACATCTAGGAGGCCTGGATTGCACCACATAACTTGCGCTACATTGCCGACTGCTTAATATCCACGCTGGCGAACGTGCTTCCTCTCTTCCGGCGGATCTCCCTCTACCTCGAGCGGTGGCAACGAAGTTATCTCCAGGGGTGGGCCCGAGAGGGCCAGCGAGGGGCACGGGTAGCGGCATTATCCGCACCTCCTCCTCGTGAATCAAAGGCCCTCTCTTCCTGGGGAGAACAATAGGTACCGATGCTGCTACTCCAAAGACCTCTCCCAGGGTGCGTTCTGACCAGGAGTTCGAGGCGAATCCAGCGGTGGCGACGAGGGCCTCCCAGGAAGCCGAAAAAGGGGAAAACGGGCGGAGGGTAGAGGTATGGGTACCTCTTCCTCCTCTGAACCTCCTCCTCCTCCTGACCTCCTGAGTCAGAGGCCCCTCTCGTTCCCTCTGCGCGCGGAGGCGCCTGCGGCGGGAAGACGACGAGCTTGAGCTTCGCTTGCGGGCTGGAGAGGCACCCGCCGGCCTCTCGCTCGGGTGCGCCGCCACCGAGGCGGCCCGCGCTGCTGCCGACACCGCCACCGCCCGTTGCGAGGCGGGGACTCGCGGTCAGGAGCGTTCGCTCAGCGTGTCGCGGCGGCGGCGCCTGCGACACGCTGTGCAGGGACCGACCGTCCCGGCATTCCTATAGGCCTTCTACGAAATGTTCTTAGAACCCAAGAATGTTCGAAAAGCAAGAACAGTGTTCTGAGAACATAGCCCGATGTGTTAAGACAAAAACATGTTGTTCAGACCACAACATATTCTTAGAGCATTTTGTTCAGACCACTACATGTTCTTACGTAGAGCATTCTTTGGTGGGCCTGTAGGCCAGCCAGGACGCCTCGCCACTGCTTGATCGTCGAAGGCAGGCCGGGAACTGCTCGGAACGTCGATGCCTGCGGACTGGAACGCCGTCAGCGTGTCGCGCAGAGGCGGGGCGGACCAGAACCAGCTGCGCACGCGAAGCGAAAGCCATGCATCATTCGGGGGCGTGCAAACATGGATTAGCGATCCATGGATTTGGCGCGCGGTCGCCAAATCCATGGATCGGGGGAGGTGCCCTCCCCAAAATGCAGCCGGTGCCGCCTCGCTCGGCGGCGGAAACCCGCGATTTCCCATGGAAGCGGGACCCGTCGCTAGTCCACTCCCCCTTGATCCGTGTTTGCGATCGCCTGAATCATCATGCGTCCACCGCCTGGGGAGCCGATGTCCTGTGACAAAAGGCCCCTGGGGGCGGCGGGCATGGATCAAAGTCTGGGCCTCTCGGGTGGGCCAGCACACGTGTCCACATCCACCGCCTCCCGGGGTCTCTAGGAGTGCTGCTGCCCTGGCGGTGGACACGAACAACTCCCAGCATCGGACTAGCGTCGATCCAGCGTCAATTGGCGTCGAGCAGCGTAAATGCAGCGTCGACTAGCGTCGATTCGCGGGAGCACCGACTAGCGTCGAGTAGCGTCGATTTAGCGTTAGGTCGAGCCTGTCCCACAACAGGCGGATTTTGGACGAACAATTGAAAATACTCAAACAAATGCACCAACATAGTCGAAACATACTGCGTTAAAAAATAGTCCCCCGACTATGTGTCTGACTCTTTTGGAAGACTCCTCCTGTAGAGGGACGTGCCCGACTCAAAATGTAACGCCGAGTAGCGTCGATGACATGCCGAAGCGCCTCCAACGCAGCGGCGCCGCCGCCCCTGGCACTGCTCCCACAACTCGCCATCGCTCGGACGTCCATTCCCTGTTTTTTTTCCGGTTTCGTGCGCGGTATTTTCGCCGAATGATCAAGGATGCTCCTTGATGATCCTCGCCGAAGGAAAAATGCACGCGTCCGAGCGATGCCAAGACAAGAGAGAGCAGCTGCCGCGAGCAGCCCACGGCGGCCAGACCCGAGGCCACGACCCCACGACGACCGACGGAGGGACCCGCGGCCGAAGGCTCGGCGGCCCGCGCCGCTTCCTCCTCGCGACTGTGGCAGGCCTAGAGTGAAGTCGGGCGTGTCCCCCTACAGGGGGATTTTCGACGAAACATCGAACATACTGAAAACAGATTCCAGAATGGTCAAAAAATACTCGAAAGACGAAAAAATAGTCCCCTGATTATCTTTTGACTATGTTTGAATGCTCCCCCTGTAGAGAGGGACAGGCCCGACGTAAGCCTAGCGGTTGACACCAACACCAATATCGGCGTTGTGCCTCCGCGTAGGGAAGAAGATCCCGAGCTCGGTGGTGGTGGTAATATTAACTATGGCTTCCAGGGTGACCGAAAGATTACCACCAGCACCGGAATCCGGGATCGTCGTCACCCTGCGGAAGCCACCCCCTGTGTTGGTGCTGGTGCCCCTGTGTTGGTGTTGGTGTTGGTGTTGGTGTTGGGCATGTCGTCGTGCTGCCATCAAACGACTCTGAAGAGCCAGGGGGACGTAAGACCCGGGTACAGGGGACTCGGAAATCACCGACGAGGTCGTAAAAATAATGACGAGGCCGAGCCTGCATTTTGACGAGGCCTCCCGCTGCAGACATCCCACGAAACTCCTCCTCGTCAAAATCCGAGGCGCGGTCGTCAAAAAACGATGGCGAACCCGAGTCCTGGCAAACCCGGGTCTTACGCTCCCCCGACAGAGGGAGCCAAAGGGCCTTGTCTGGCCACGGCGGACCCCGGCCCCAATGAGCTCCCCGAGCTGCCGAGATCAAAAGGAGCGGCCGGGAGAGCCAAGGCTCGGAGGGCGAGGAGGAGGAGAGGAGGAGGAGGAGAAGGAGAGGAGGAGGCAGGAGGAGGAGAGGAGAAGGGAGGAGGAGGAGGAGGAGGAGGAGAGTAGGGAGAGGAAGGGAGGGGAGGGAGGGGGATAAGGGAGAGGAGGGGAGGAGGAGGGAGGAGAGGAGGAGGAGGAGGAGAGGAGGAGGGAGGAGGAGGGAGAGGAGGGAGGAGGAGGAGGAGAGGGAGGAGGAGGGAGGGAGGTAGGAGGTAGGAGGAGGAGGAGGAGGAGGAGGAGAGGAGGGAGAGGAGAGGGAGGAGGAGGAGGCTGTAAGTACCCCCCCTCTCCAGGCCCCCCCCTCTCCAGGCCCCCCCCCCTCCCTCCGCTGCCTCTCGCCGGACGAGTGGACGAACGGCATGGCGCCTCCTCTTGGGGAGACGCGGGGCTCGAACAGCCGTGGTGTTTTTGGTCCCTTTGGAGGCCTCTGGGAAGCGACCCGTCGCCACGGCCGGACCCGCCTCGGATACAGGCCGGGGTGGCACCCCAGGAGCGGTCCGGGGACCGACTGTGCCGCGCGGGAGGGCCGCCGTTGTCCGAACTGACCCTCCTGCGAGGGAAGGGGGTGGAGGGAGGAAGAAAAGGAGACCTCTCGGGGATGGACAGACCCCCCTTTAGTAAAACGTGGTTTAGTGAAAACGACCTGTCGCCCCAAACATGGCGGGCGCAAGCCTGGAAAATCACGGCCAAGGCGCCCTCTCGAGAACCGAAAACGGATAATTCACTAATCGACGGGTCACTGTTGGGGCTTCTGTCCACCCTCGACTCTCGGGGATCTCCTGACCTGGGTCAATCAGACCAGGGTCAGCAGGAAACCAAAGAGCTGCAATGCAGGACAACAAAAAAATTGCAACGCAGGGCTTCGCAAGCCCGGGTCCGCCAATATACGCGGCCGCCTCGCGGCCACGAGCGGCTCGCTGAACCGGGTCAGCCAGAGGGGTCTTCGCAGGATGCTGCAGGATCCCCGATTGCATTGACCCCCGTTTGCATTGACACCCGAATCCCCACCGACTCACCACACGGTGTGGTCACCACCCCGTTTTGGGGCCCCCGAGAGACGCGGGGTTCGACTTTTTGGGAGGACTTTTGGACCGGCCTGGCGGGGCCGTCGGAGGAGTGACGGGGCCTGGCCCGAGTGACGCGAGCGGTCGAGCGCAGGAAGGAAGAGGAGGAGGAGGAGGAGGAGGAAAAGGAAAAGGAGGAGGAGGAGGAGGAGGAGCAGCGGGAGCGGACCCGCTCCCGCTGCGGCCTCGGGAACCCACCCATTGCCGAGCTAGAAGAAAAAGCAGCATAAGCATAAACTCTTGGCGCTCCGCACGGATTTCTTGGATCTGCGCTGGGCCCCCCATCCCTGGCGCGCGGAGCGCGCCAGGGGCGCCCCCAGGGGGCCCAGCGCGGATCCAAGAAATTCGCGCGGAGCGTCAAAAATTTCTGCTGATGGCGTCGTTTCTTCGACGAGCGCTGTGCCTCCGTCGGGAGAACGAACAACTTATATAAACAGCAGCTTCCGGCGCTCCGCGCGGATGACTCGGAGCGGCGCCGGAGCACCCTCCCTGGGGTGGGGTGCGCGCCAAGGGCGGCGCCAAAGGTGCCAGGGGGTCCAGCGCCGGTCCACGAAGTCCGTGCGGAGCTCCAGAAGCGTCTGTTTGTACAAGCTGTCAGGGCTGAACCTAAACGGTGTTTTTCGTTCCCCACATCCTGAGTGGGGTTCTTGTTTTCCCAGAACACCCTCTCCTTCCCACCCACCTCCCGCTCCATCTTCCATACAGCACCATATTATTCCTACCACACACACCATACCATACCATAGTTCCTACCACACATACCATACCATACCATACCATACCATACCACACCATACGTACCATACCGTACCATACCATACCATGGCGTACCATAGCATACCATACCATATCACACCAATGCCACACCGTACCATACCATACCATACCTCCAGTACCATACCATACCATATCATACCATACCGTACCATACCATACCTACCATACCATTCCATACCACTCCATACCGAAAACCATACTACTTACATGGTTTCGTGCCCCTCCCACCCCTCCAGGGAGGCCCCGCCTGAGCGAGGAGGGTATCGGAATACCATACTATTTACATGGTTTCGTGCCCCTCCCACCCCTCCAGGGAGGCCCCGCCTGAGCGAGGAGGGTATCGGAATACCATACTATTTACATGGTTTCGTGCCCCTCCCACCCCTCCAGGGAGGCCCCGCCTGAGCGAGGAGGGTATCGGAATACCATACTATTTACATGGTTTCGTGCCCCTCCCACCCCTCCAGGGAGGCCCCGCCTGAGCGAGGAGGGTATCGGAATACCATACTATTTACATGGTTTCGTGCCCCTCCCACCCCTCCAGGGAGGCCCCGCCTGAGCGAGGAGGGTATCGGAATACCATACTATTTACATGGTTTCGTGCCCCTCCCACCCCTCCAGGGAGGCCCCGCCTGAGCGAGGAGGGTATCGGAATACCATACTATTTACATGGTTTCGTGCCCCTCCCACCCCTCCAGGGAGGCCCCGCCTGAGCGAGGAGGGTATCGGAATACCATACTATTTACATGGTTTCGTGCCCCTCCCACCCCTCCAGGGAGGCCCCGCCTGAGCGAGGAGGGTATCGGAATACCATACTATTTACATGGTTTCGTGCCCCTCCCACCCCTCCAGGGAGGCCCCGCCTGAGCGAGGAGGGTATCGGAATACCATACTATTTACATGGTTTCGTGCCCCTCCCACCCCTCCAGGGAGGCCCCGCCTGAGCGAGGAGGGTATCGGAATACCATACTATTTACATGGTTTCGTGCCCCTCCCACCCCTCCAGGGAGGCCCCGCCTGAGCGAGGAGGGTATCGGAATACCATACTATTTACATGGTTTCGTGCCCCTCCCACCCCTCCAGGGAGGCCCCGCCTGAGCGAGGAGGGTATCGGAATACCATACTATTTACATGGTTTCGTGCCCCTCCCACCCCTCCAGGGAGGCCCCGCCTGAGCGAGGAGGGTATCGGAAAACCATACTATTTACATGGTTTCGTGCCCCTCCCACCCCTGCAGGGAGGCCCAGCCTGAGCGAGGAGGGTATCGGAAAACCATACTATTTACATGGTTTCGTGCCCCTCCCACCCCTCCAGAGAGGCCCCGCCTGAGCGAGGAGGGCATCAAGAAAATGGGTCCCACGAAACCGTTAATCTCTTTATGTGGGGAACTCCGTTAGCATAATTTTCGTTTTGTTTTCGTTTTCCCCTTGTTCTGTCTTAAACGAAAACGGCCCACGAACTCACCAAAACAACGTCAAGGTCCAGCCATGCAAGCTGTCCTTCGGTCCCAAAGCCGCGTTCGGGGCGGGTGCGGCTCCTTGCCGCCCATGAGGACGACGCGGAGTAGGATGATGATGGATCGGGCGTTGGCAGAACTGGGTTTAGTGCGACCTGGTTTAGTGAGGTGTACAGGGCAGTGTTTAATACATAGGATGTTTAAACTATAAGATTATAATACATGATTAATTTACGAATAAGTGTATGCATGAACAACTCGTTGATTAAAAACTAAATCCCTGCATTTTGAATACATGATCCGCACGCGGAACATGCATTAAAACCGGCACAGTACTGGGGGGCGCCCCCCAGGCCCCGCTCCACTAGCCGAACTGCCGTCACCGAAACACACCGGCTGCGGTAGACCTGGTGTAGTAAGTCTGGCCAACTTTGGGGCTCAGGGGCCCTGCTACTAACCGCGTCCCCTTACCTGAGGTTCTGGCTATACCGGACACAAGGATGACGAGGATGGTGATGATGATGATGACGATGATGATGGTGATGATGATGATGGTGATGATGATGAATATGATGATGATGATGATGATGATGATGATGATGATGATGATGATGATGATGCTGATGGTGATGATGATGATGATGATGATGATGATGATGATGATGATGATGATGATGATGATGATGATGATGATGATGATGATGATGATGATGATGATGGAGGTCACCCACCTTTGCGAGCCGAGCCCCGCGAAGCGCGACGGCGCGGCTATCTTCGCGCCCTGTCGCCGCCTCTGGAAAGGCCAGCTCTGCGGCCCCGGCCGCGACGCGCGAAGCGCGGTGGTATCTTCGCGCGAGGCTGTGAGACCGTAGAGCCACTTCGAAATCGCTTCCTCCCCGCTCGCCACCACCAGTCCTGGCATTGGGCGTACGAGGATGGAGGAGGGGCGCATCCTCGCCTCCAATTCCACCTCTCTCCACTGGGCCTCCCCCACATCCATGAAACCATGATCGAGGCTCGCGGTCACCTGGAAGAGGACTCAGAAAACCTCTCTCTGACAGCCCGACTTCAACCGGAGGAGAGATGAGAGCTAAGATACGGAGGGAGGAGGGAGGGAGGGAGGGAGGAAGAGAGGAGGGAGCCGGGAGGGAGGGATACAGCAAGGGCAACGCCAGCAAAGAGCGGGATTGGGCGCGGAAGATGAGGGACAAGAGAGACGGGTCACGGAAGGAGGAGGAGGGGGGGAACGGAGAGAGGATACCTGAAAGCAGGGAGGGCGGAGAGGGGGGGCAGATTTGGCTGCAACGGCATGAAGTGAGCTCGGCGCGTTTAGGAGAGTGCCTATTGCTTGGTATTGCTTGGCACTGAGTTCCCCTGCTAGGCTTTGCTTGGCATTGCATTGAGTTGCATTGCTTGGCATTGTATCGCATCGCGTTGCTTGGTATTGCTTGGCATTGAACTCCCCTCTTTGGTCTTGCTTGGCATTGCTTGGCACTGCTCGACATTGCATCTCTTGGAAAGTCTTGGCATTGCTTGGCATCGCCTGGCCTCGGTTGGTATTTGTGCATTGCGTGTCATTGCTTGGCATTGCATTGCTTTGCTTGGCGATGCTTGGCATTGCACGGCGTCGCTTGGCAATGCTGAGCGCTGCTTCAAAAAAACAACAACAGAAACAAGACCGAGGACCCCAGGAATTCAGAGCAAGGCGGACATGTTCAAGACCGTGAGCGATCGAGACTAGAAAGGAGCCTGGGAAACCTGGGGGGAGGGATGCGGAAAGCGGAGAATGGAAGAAAAACGCTATAAGCATAAAAAAACTGTTGGCGCTCCGCGCGGATTTCCTTGGATCGGCGCTGGACCCCCCTCACCGGCGCGCGGAGCGCGCCAGGGGCAGCGCCGGAGGCGCCGCCGGGGGGGGGCGCAGAGCAGATCCGAGAAATCCGCGCGGAGCGCCAAACTGTTAGTGTTTACGGCGTTTTTGCTTCTTCGAAAGAAGGAACCGATACCGCTACCCCTCGGACCTCTCCCGGGGTGCGTTCTGACCAGGAGTTCGAGGCGAATCCAGCGGTGGCGACGAGGGCCTCCCAGGAGGCCCAAGAAGGGGAAAACGGGCGAGGGGGTAGAGGTATGGGTACCTTGTCCTCCTCAGAAAATTGAGCAGGGACCGACCATCCTGGCATTCTTATGGGCCTACCACGATATGTTTTTAGAACCCCCAAAAAATCTAAGCACAAAAACCATCTTCTTAGAACATAGACCCGGGGTACTAAAACAAGACAGTCCCAGCCGAACATGATCTGAGAACACTTCGTGGAAACCACAGGAGGTTCTTAGACCATTCTTCGGTAGCCCTAGAGGCACGCCAGGACGCTTCGCCGCTGCTGGAGAGAACGGGGGTGGGCCAGGGCCTCGGCGCCGGCGCCTGCGCCGCCGGCGCCTGGGGCGGGGGCCCCGGCGGCGCCGGGCGCTGCGAGGCACTGAGGGCGCTGGCGGCGGAGGCGAGGGCCTGCCGCTTCTCCTCCTCGGGGGATGGCGGGAGGAGATAATCGCGGCTCCTGCTCCACCTCCTCCTCCTCCTCCTGCTCCCTCTCTCCTCCTCCTCCTCCTCCTCCTCCTCCTCCTCCTCCTCCTCCTCCTCCTCCTCCTCCTCCTCCTCGTCCTCCTCGTCCTCCTCCTCCTACTCCTCCTCCTACTCCTCCTCCTCCTTCTCTCCCTCCTCCTCGTGGGGGCGGAGGAGGAAGGGGAGGAGGAGGAGGAGGAGGAGGAGGAGGAGGAGGAGGAGGAGGAGGAGGAGGAGAGACGCGGCCGTGGTGGGAAAGGCAGAAAGGCAGAAAGGCAGGTGGAGGAGGAGGAGGAAGAGGAGAAAGAGGGGGGGGAGGTCGGTTGGCTCTGCCGTCCTGTTCCGTAGCGGCTCGGCACGTGCCCGCCAGTGGAGGAAATCGCGCCCGGGGAAAAGGATGTGTGGCACAGGACACAGAAGCAGGCTTCACCCCCTTTTGGAGGCGCCTCGTGCACGGCTTCGCTCGAGGGAAAAGGGGAAGTGGGGAGCGGGTTTGTGGCTCAGGCCAGCTTCATGGGCACCCCCCAGTCTCTCCTGCTCCCCCGAGAGATCCGACGAGGTGCGTTTTCCAATCTGGGCGCTCTTCCTCGACTTCGGCCGTCCAGGCCCGTCATCGGGGGGGGCATCAGGAGCGGATCTAGGGCGAAACGCTGGCCCCAGTGGAGGGATCGGGGCCTCCGAGGCCGCCGATTCAGGAGCCCATGCCGTGGCATGTCAGGGCGTCGCTCCTCCTCCTCCTCCCCTCCTCCTCCTCCTATTCCTCCTCCTCCTCCTCCTCCTCCTCCTCCTCCTCCTCCTCCTCCTCCTCCTCATCCCAACGTCTTCTCCTGCTTTTCCTTCCTTGCTCCTCGCTCCTCTCCACTTCTGCCTCCCAACATCCCCCTCTCCCCCAGGGGGAGACGGAGGCAAAGGGTAGCGAGGGACAGAACCAATCAACATCAAAATAGGAAATCGGATCGAGTCAACATGTGTGTTGAATCGGGCAGCATCGGCCAGGAGCACAATCGTATCGTCAGCCGCGCAAGGGTGTGTATAGTTCAAAGCGAGCGTTGGGCCGCATCGCATATCGCATCGTATCGTAGAAACATCGGACTCGAATCGGATCGGGCCTGCCGACATCGAGGTCGAATCAGATCGCCTGAATCGAAAAAGATCTTGGCGGGGTGGCTGGGCGGGAGGACGGGCGGGGTGGTCGTCGCGGAGGAGTGGGAGCGGGGAGGTCGAAGGACGGCGGAAGCGAGATTGGCCGCCTCACGTTGGTGCCGTATTCATTGTTCCTCCTCACCAGCCTCTTCAGCACAGACGCACAATCCATCATCGCCATCGACATCCACACCCTCCTCACCCTCATCATCGACGTTATCCACCTCCACGTCCTCCTGATGCTCCTTCTCCTCCTCCTCCTCCTCCTCCTCCTCCTCCTCCTCCTCCTCCTCCTCCTTCTCCTCCTCCTCCCCCTCCCCCAAGTATGACACCTCTTCCTCCAGCGGTAGTGAGAAGGTGGAGGGAGAAATACGAGGAGAAGGAGGAGGAGGAGGAGGAGGAGGGGAGGAGGAGGAGGAGGAGAAGGATGAGGAGGAGGAGGAGGAGGAGGAGGAGGGGCGAGCGAGCAGGAGCGAGCAGGAGATGGCCTGGGATGGGAAAGGCGGGGCGCGCATGCTGGGCGCGGGCCGTCGCCACCTGCCCGCTCCGCAATATATCACAACCCCCTCGGGCCGTCTGCCGGGAGATCCTGGGAGCGGGGCGAGGGGGCCATCACGGAAGGGGGGTCGGCCTGCAGGCGGGTGGCGAGGCCGCCCAGGGGGGGGCCGGGGGACGGGGACGGGGAGGCGGGAGGCAGCTTCTGGGCCATGCTGCTCCCATCGCACTTGAGGACCACGCCCCAGAACTAAGTTCGAGCACCCAAGAGAGCGTCGAAAAAGTGTCGAAATAGTGTCGGAACAATGTCGAACGAGTGCCTCCCAGGGCCCGACACGTGAAAACCCTCAGGTTTCGGTATTTTCTTGGTGCTCTAAATTCTTGCTAGTGGTCAATGCTAAAATAGGCTGGAACATCATAACTTCTGGGACGTTTTCGCCAGAACGAGTAAGGGATAGACTCTGGTTAAGTCCAGGGAAGCCCCCACTGAACCCGATTGGGCCATGAAGGAGCCGAATGAAGCTGGATTAGACCAGGTACACCAGGATTGAGCCTGGCTCGGTGGGAGAACCTAGATTGGGCAAGTTTTCGACCAGGGGTATACCAGCGCCTATTCTGTGTTTCACCTCTCGGGATCGGGCGTTGGCAGAACTAGGTTTAATTAATGGAACCTGGTTTACTGATTTGCACCGGTGGCGCCCCCCCGCCCCATTTCCACTAACCGGAACTGCCGTCACCCGAAAACACCAGTTACGGCAAACCTGGTTTAGTGAACCTGGCCAATTGAGGGGCCCCAGGGCCCTACCACTAACCGGGTCCCCTTACCCGGGGTCCTGGCTATACCCGACAGGAGTTGCATCCAAATTCGGAGTCCTCCCATAACATAGGAGGCGCTGCTGGCACAACGCGACATGGGGACCGCAGCGCCTGGCAGAGGGAAGGCGCTCGCGCGCACCACGGACCCCGACGACTCGGCGAGAGGGGGAGCAACAACGCGAGTCGCGCACGTGCGGTAGCCGTGGGCGCACGAGGGAGCGGAGGGGCCGAGGGCGGAGGACGAGGAGGATAATGTTGTTTTTGCTGTTTCTGTTCCTCCTCGCAGCCCTCGCGGCCTTTCTTGGTTCACGCGTCCTCTTGCATTCTTCAAGTCCGCTGCGCTACGATCCATTTGCTGGCTGATCAGCAACTTGGCGACGATCAACATCGGGTCTTACACGAGAGGACATAGCGACCTTACGCCGCGGCGTACGTGGACCGCCAGCGCGGCACGCCACCATGCAGACGAGGGCGCTTACGCGCGACCTTACGCGGGCAGCTTGCGCGCCAATGTCGGCGCAAGCGACCCCGGTTTCTTTGCGTCGCTCAACCGGGGTCTGTCTGCCGGCCGTGAGCCCGCTCGGAGCGAGACTCGCAAGCGGCGTGGGGAGAGATCTGCCCGGTGTGCGGAAGGCTCGAGCACGGAGCACGCTGGCCGGCCCAGGCCCAGGGGGCTTTTCAACGAACAACAAATATATATATATATATATATATATATATATATATGCCAAAAAGGTCAAACAATGCTCAAAAAATAATCCGAAGACTGTTGTTGTCATTTTTTGATGATTTCTATGGTATTTTCATGTTTCGTCGAAAATCCCCCTGTAGGGGGACAGGCCCGACTTAAGCCCAGGCGGCATGAATGGGGGGGGAGCTGGAGGGGGCTGAGCAGGGCGAGGCCGGATTACGATCAAGCTCGCCCTCGCCATCGCTCGGGCGTCCCTTCCCCGTGCCTGTTTCGCTGTCGCGTGTTTATTGTTTCGCACGATGGCCCAATCTGCTCCTCGATGGCCCTCGCCGCAAGAACTGCGCACGTCCGAGCGATGCCAGGCGCCGAACACGAGCGCAAGAGCCTCAGAGTTAAGTCGGGCCTGTCCCCCTACAGGCAGATTTTGGACGAATCCATATATATATATAATATCATATGCCACACAAATATTTGAACACTATTCAAAAATGTTAAACAGATCGCCCCCATATGATGTCTTACTATGTTTGAATTTTCCTCCTGTAGAGGGACAGGCCCGACTCAATGCCAGCGACACCTTTGGGGGCGAATTAAAAGGGGGCGATGAGTGACGGTGGGCAGAACGGTGCTCTCTTCGGGCGCTAGAGGCCCCCCTGGGCCTCCAAACGGCCCCTCTGGGGGCCCTGAAGGGCTCATTTTCTGCAGCCCTCGCTGCCCCCCCCCATCCCGTTTTCGCCACGTCATCAAGTCACGCCCAACCCGAGGGGCCCAGAAGAGCGCGCCGGGCGCCAGAGACTGCGACCCAGGCTTCCAGCGCGATGCTTGCCTCCTCCTCCTCCTCCTCCTCCTCCTCCTCCTCCTCCTCCTCCTCCTCCTCCTCCTCCCGTTTTCGCCACGTCGTTAAGTCACGCCCAACCCGGGGGCCCAGAAGAGCACGCCGGGCGCCAGAGACTGCGAGCCAGGCCTCCGGCGCGATGCCTGCCCGCGTCGGTGAAGGCCTGGCAGCCTCTCGGTCTGGGGACGCGCGGGGGGCCGCGACTGCTGGATGCGTGGGGCTGGCGCAGCGTGATCCGACGCACGCGCGCGGACAAGGCGGGCGCCAGGGAGCGAAGAGAAAGAAGCCACGATACCTGGGACATCTCATGGCCCTGGCCATGACATCCACACCACGAAGTGGCCCTTACCCCATCTTCGACGCCTGATGATCGTCAAGTCTTACCTCGGGCCTCTGGCGGCCGACATAAAGCCTTCAAAGAGGCGCTGCATGGCAAACATCCCACGGCGAGAACACCTCTGAGAACCGACGGCGACTTCCTCCCGCCCATAACCATTCGACGACGAAAACGTCATCGACCCCCTCCCCAGACATCCGCCGAGAACTTTTTTCCGATCCGCGGCCCCAAGAGGTCCCGACCGCTTCCCGGGGCGCAGGTGCACGGTTTCCCCCGGGGCCGAAGGCGACCCGAGGAGGAGGAGGAGGAGGAGAAGGAGGAGGAGGAGGAAGAGGAGGAGGAAGAGGAGCAGGAGAAGGGGGAGGGGGAGGAGGAGATGGAGGAGGAAAGAGGAGGAGGAGGAGATGGAGGAGGAAAGAGGAGGAGGAGGAGGAGGAGGGGGAGGAGGAGGAGGAGGAGGACGGATCGCCTCAGCCCTTCGGAGAAATCCTCCAGCCCCGGGGGGTCGAACACGAGGAACGGCCCCCGAACTGAAACGCTCGGGTCGCCGCAGATCCCGGGCGGCCGCGCGCGGCATCCCGAGGCGAGAAAACCACCAGAAAGCCTCGAAGAGCAAATGAACGCTTCCTCCCGAACAAAAACCCTTCGACCACGAGAATGTCCCCACCCCCTCCCTGACATCCCCCTCCTCCTGCTCCTCCTCCTCCTCCTTCTCCTCCTCCTCCTCGTCATCATCCTCATCCTCATCCTCCTCATCCTTCTCTCCCCCTCCACCCATCCCGATGGAGGATAAAGACGAAGCCTCTGGAGCTGGAAGAAGGGACGAGAGAGGCGAGGGAACGGAGACGGAGAAGGCACACGACGGGGAGCAGGAGGCGAGGAGGAAAAGAGGGAGAGGAGGAGGAAGAGGGTGCAGCAAGAAGAGATCTGAGCCGCGGGCGCCACCCCCCCTGGCGCCCCCGGGGCCCGCGCAGCCCGCTCCTGCAGTGCGCTGAGCGCCTCGTGCTTCTCCCGCAGCGCTCTCTTCTCCTCCGCGGGCGGGCCCCGCGAAGAGGCTCGCAGGAGAGCCCGGAGAGGTCCCAAGAGGCCTCTGTACGATGGGGCCACCCAGCGTGAGATGGGTGTCCCAGAATGAGCTCGGGGCCGCCATGCGGACCCTGCCGCTGGGGCGTTCGGTGGAGATTCCTATGGGGCAACGACGCGCGTAAGGAGTTTGCCGAAATGAGTGCGCGGCCGCCATGCGAACGCCACAGGGGCCTCCGGTAGAGGCTCCCGACGGGGCCGAAACGACCCTGCCAGTGGGGCCTTCGGTGGAACTCCCTAGAGGGGCACGGAACGTGTGAGCGGTTTGCCAAAATGAGTGCGAGGCCGCAACGCGAACCCTGGCGTGCGGGACGTCGGCGGGGCTCCCTGAAGCCTTACGTGGGGCCACCAAGCGTGTGATTGGTGTGCCGACTTGTAGTAGTCGGGGCCGCCATGCGGACCCTGCAGCTGGAACTCTCGGTGGAGCTCCCCATGGGGTCACGAAGCGCGCGAAAAGGTGTGCAGAGATTGGTGCGGGGCCGCCATGCGAACCCTGCCGCTGTGGCTCTCGGTGGAGCCCACGATAGGGGCCACGAAGCGTGTGAGGGGTGTGCTGGCATGGCTGCGTGGCCGCCATCCGGACCCTGCCGCCTGGGCCTTTGGTCGAACCCCAAAATGGGGGGCCACGACACGCGTAAGGAGTTTGCCGAAATGGGTGCGGGGCCGCCATCCGGACCCTGCCACAGGGCCTTCGGTAAGGACTCCCTTATGGGGCCACGAAACGTGTGAGGGGTGTGCTGGAATGGGTGCGTGGCCCTGCTAGTGGGGAGGTCAGTGGAGCTCCCTGTGGAACAACGAGAAGAATGAGGGATGCCCACATGGGGGAGGGTACCGCATGCCCACCCTGCCAATGGGGCTTTCAATGCAGCTCCCTATGGGGCCACGAAACGTGTAGGGGTGTGCCAAACTTGAGGTGGACACCACATGCGAACCCTGACACTGGAGCCTTCGTCAGAACTTTATATGGGGCCGCCAAACTGTGAGTGGTGTACCGGAATGGTGGCTGGCACCGCATACGAACCCTGCCACTAGCTCATTCGGTGATGCTCCCTATGGGGACACCCACGAAACGTGTGAGCGGTGTGTCGAAATGGAAGCGGCTGGCCGCATAAGTGTAAGGTGCGTGTGCCGAAATTGAGGCAGGTACCGCATACAATCCCCGCCGCTGGGGCTTTCGGTGGAGCTCCCCACGGGAGCACGAAGCGTGTGCAAAGTGCGCCGAAAAGGGGCGGGTACCGCATGCGAGCCCCGCCACTGCGGCCTTCGGTGAAACTCTCTATGGGGCGACGGAACGTGTGAGAGGTGTGCCCACATGGCGACGGGTACCGCATGCGAACCCTGCCACTGGGGCGTCCTGTGGAGCTTCATATGGTGCCACCCGCGGAGCGCGTGAGCGGTGCGTCGGAATGGACGCGTATAAACGCAAGTGACCCGCCGGTGCCTTCGGTGGAGCTCCACATGGAGTCACGGAACGTGAAAGGTGTGGGCCGAAATGGAGGCGGGTACGGCATGCAAACCCTGCCACTGGGGCCCTCGGTGGAGCTCCCTGTGGGGCCTCGGAACTTGCGGGGGGGTGCTGAACTGTACGTGGCGACCGAGGGCCGATGATGATGACGATGATGATGATGATGATGATGATGATGATGACGATGAAGATGACGTTGGTGATGCTGATGATGGTGATGATTGGTGATGATCATGATGCTGATGGTGATTATGATGATTATGTTGTTGATGATGATGATGACGATCATGACGATAAAGATGATGATGATGATGATGATGATGATGATGATGATGATGATGACGATCAAAATGACGTTGGTGATGCTGATGGTGACGACGATGTCGGTGATAACGATGTAAGTGCTTATGATGATGATGATGACGTGAAAGGCCGAGCGCCGATGATGATGATGATGGGCGTGGCGACCGAGGGCCGTTGATGATGATGATGATGATGATGATGATGATGATGATGACGATGACGCTGACGCTGATGATGATGATTATGCTGATAATAATGCTGCTGCTGCTGATGATGATGCTGATGCTGATGCTGATGATGATGATGCTGATGATGATAAAGATGATGCTGATGACGAGGAGAAGGAGGATGGTGGTGCTGGTGACAATGATGATGGTGATGATGCTGGTGATGAATGATTCCTTTCAACGGCATGGACCCCTATCTTCTCGTTGGCGTTGTGGTGGTTGTGGGGTCTCTTTCGCCTGTAACACTCCAGCCACGTGTCGCACTCAATGTAATAAAACTATCCAGGCACAAAATCCAACCATGTGCAAGTGTGAATAACGAAAGAGAGAGTGAGACGAACCGTGTGAGGGCTGGGCCGAAATAAGGGGGCGGCCACCATGCGACTCCTGCCACTGGGGCCTATGGTGGAGCTCCGTAGGGGGCCACGGAACGTTCGAGCGGTGTGCCAACATGGATGCGGATACCACGTGCGAACCCTGCCACTGCGGCATTCGGCGAGTGAGGCCACGAAACGTTTGAGCGGCATACGGAAAAGAGGGAGCAGCCGGCTGCGGCTCCTGCCACTCTGGGGCCTTCAGCGGAACTTCGTGTAGCTCCACGAACCATGCAGGGGTCGTGCCGAAACCAGGGGGCGGCCGCCGTGCGACTCCTGCCTTCGATGGAGCTCCCCGTGGGGCCACGAGACATGTGAAGGGCGAACCCACATGGAGAGGCGAATGCAATTTTATCCCGCATGCGACTCCTGCCACTGGGGCCTTCGGTGAAACTCCCCATGAGCCCACGAACCGTGTAAAGGGAGTGCCGAAGCGAAATTGAGCTGGCCGCCATGCGACTCCTGCCGCTGAGGCTCTCGGTAGAACTCCTTGCGGGCCTGTGGGGGCACGAAACGTGTGAGAGGTGTGCCGAGACGACTCCTGCCGCTATGGCCTTCGGTGTGACTCCTGCCGTGCGACTCCTGCCGCTGGGGCCTTCGGTGTGGCTCCCCATGGGGTCACGACGCGTGTGAGGGGTGTGCCGAAGAACGGGCGCCCAGCATGCGACTCCTGCCGCTGGTGCCTTCGGTGGAACTCCCTATGGGTCTTCAAGCCGTGTGAGGGGCGTGCCGAAACCAGGGAGCGGCCACCATGCGAGCCCTGCCACTGCGGCTCTCGGTGGAGCTCTCGACGGGGCCACGGAACGGTTGAGGGGCGTGCCGGAAGGGGGGGGGCGCCCGCCGTGCGACGCCTGCCGCTGGGGACTTCAGTGGAGCTCTATATTGAAGGGGCCCCAGGACACACAAATAAATACACACAACTAAAAGTATTCCCCATATTTCCCCATATTTTGTGAGTTTCTGTCTTCCCCCCACCTCCAATATGTTCCCATATTTTCTGGGGAATCGAGGATGAATTGTGTCTGAGTGTTTTTTCCTCTCCTGATATATGGGGCCACGAAACATGTGAGGGGAGTGCCGAAATAAGGGGGTGGCCGACATGCGACTCCTGCCACTGGGGCCGTTGGTGGAGCTCCCTATGGGTCAGCGAACCGTGTTAAGGGCATGCCAAGACGGGGGCGGCCGCCATGCGACTCCTGCCACTGCGGCTTTCGGTGGAACTCTCTATTGGGCCACGAAGCATTCAGGGGGGAACCAAAATGAAAAGGCATGCGAGCCCTGCCACTACGGCTTTCGGTGGACCTCTCTATGTTTCCACGGACCGCGTCACGAACCGTGGGAGAGGTGTGCCGAAGACGACGACGACGACGACGACGACGACGACGACGACAACGAAGATGATGATGATGATGATGATGATGATGATGATGATGATGATGATGATGATGATGATGATGATGATGATGATGATGATGATGGTGAGGATGGTGAGGATGGCGATTGCAATGGTGATGGCATTGGTAAATGGTAATGGTAATGGCAGTGGTGATGGTGATGGTGATGCTGATGATGGCGGTGATGGTGATGGTGATGTTGATGGTGATTGTGATGGTGCTGGTGATGTCGATGGTGGGGATGCTGGTGATGATGGCGATGATGACGATGCTGATGATGATGATGCTGATGATGAGGATGACGATGATGATGCTGATGATGATGCTGACGGTGATGACGATGATGACGATGACGATGACGATGATGCTGATGCTGCTGCTTTTGCTGCTGCTGATGATGATGACGACGACGACGACGATGATGATGATGATGATGATGATGATGATGGTGATGCTGATGACATGCGGAGGGCAGAAGCGACGGGAGTAGGAGGTGGAGGGGGAGAAGGAGGAGGAGGAGGAGGAGGGAGGGGAAGGGCAGCGGGAAGACGCGGGGCGCAGTCTCTTCAACACGGGGACCCAACACCACATCATTGGTCAGGAAGCACCAAAGGAACAACATCACACATCCGCTTTGTCAGGCACGGTTCACAACATCGCACTCGTTTACAACCAGTGCATGTGCCGGTCGGTGACCACCCGTCTGCCCTCGACCACGCCTCCCCTGAGGCTCACTGCACGGACCTTGCAGACGTGCTGCAGCGAATCGTTGCGTGGATGTCTGCCAATGCAGAGGCCCGAAACGGCGAGTGAGAAACGAAATGACTTTTGCGTGGATTTCTGTTGAGCCTTCATGCCTGGCCGAACAAAAATCTGCGCGAGATTCACCTCGAAATTCGAAAACGAAGTTCTCCAGGACAAGCTGGGCCCATCCCACCGTTTTCCGAACGAAATCCGCCCTGCGATGTTGACGCCCCTGGGCGCGAGGGGGTGCCAGGGGCAACGCGAGGGGGCGGCTGGCCCCAGGGGGTGGCGGAGCGCATCGGCTCCCAGTGGCCAGCTCACCTCGAACTCGGCGGGGAGCATGGGTCTCCCACCCCGCCCAGGAGCGCCCGGGCTGGCCATCCCGGGCCCATCGCCGATCCCTTCGGCGGGGCGCCGCCGATCTCAGCTGCTTGCTTCCCCCGCTGGGCTCATGATGTTCCGAAGAGGTCCATGTCTGCGATCGCCGGAGCTGAGGCGAGGCCCGTGGCAGGGAGGCGCTCGCCCGTCCTCCTCGAGCAGGCCCTTCAGCCGCTCCTCCGCCTCGCCGTGCCGCTTCCGCTCCCTGCGCAGCTCCTGCAGGGCCCCGCGGCTCCCCCCCCCGCATTGAACGTCGAGGACACAGGCTAGAGTTAGGTCGGGCATGCTCCCCTGCAGGGGGATGTTGGACGAATCCTTTTCGTTTCACAAACACCCCAAGACAAATCAGAAATCATATCGTCCCCAGCTTATGCTTTAACTATTGTTGCAAACTCCCCCTGTAAAGAGACAGGCCCGACTGAAGGTTAGAGGATGGAGCTCTGACTCTGCCACCCCTTTTCGGGCCTTCTGGGGGCCCGCGTCGCCACGCAGGGACCCGCCTTCAGAATGCTGGCCAGCAGGCATCCTGGAGCGGGTCTTAGGGGAACGAAGACTGACCTAAACACAACAACTCGGAGGTCCGCGCGGATCTCTCGGATCCGCGCTGGGCCCCCCTCCCTGGCGCGCGGAGCGCGCCAGGGGCGGCGCCGGAGGCGCCGCAAGGGGGGTCCAGCGTGGAAACGAGAAATCCGCGCGGACCTCAAAGTTTTTATGTGTATGTCAGTCTTCGTTCCCCTAGGTCTGTCGACCACCAGGCCCAGACCTCCGACGGTATGACTGCTCAATGCGGGCGTGCCTCCTCGCTTTCGGACCACGGGCCCCAGGGCCATCAACTGTGTTATCCGAGCCGCGACGCTGGCCCCGGGCGAAAGTATCGGCACGCCTGGGACCGCGCAGCGACGACCCGTCGTCGGCTGTCTGGGCTCCTCCTCCTCCTCGTCCTCCTCCTCCTCGTCCTCCTCCTCCTCCTCCTTCTCCTCCTCCTCCTCCTCCTCCTCCTCCTCCTCCTCCTCCTCCCCCTCCTCCTCGGTCCTCCTGCAAGCGCCGACGCCCTGTCTATATACCTGTCAGCCCCGGCGCCCACGTGGGGCCACCGCTGCCCCGCCCCCGCGGGCCTCCTCCCCGCCCCCGCTCGGCCCACGGGGAGGCGAGGGAGGGAGGCGGACACCCCCGCCGCCCCCCGAGTGGGAGCGAGCGGCAAGCCGTGGGCATGGAGATAGAATGCGGGCAACAGTTAGATCCACATCCAGTGCGTCTTGGATTCTTGGGCTCTCCTCCCCAGAAACCGTAGACGCACTGGATATGGATAAAAATCTGGCCCCAAGAGGCTTGATTTGATCCATCTCCGGTGCGCCTCGGCGTTGCGGCACCCCTTTCCAAAAAGTCCACGACGCTCTGGATATGGATATAAGTACTGCCCGCATAGAGGCCTCCCAGATGAGGTCCGAGCAGACGGGGTCGGAAGATCGCGCCGCATCGACGATGCGTCGGCGACGTCGGCGTGGAGATATCGGGTTCCGCATCGAGCCGCATCGTCGATGCATCGGCGATGCATCGGCGATGCGGCGCGATCCTTCGACCCCATCTACTCCGACCCCATCTGGAAGGCCTAGAGGAGAGCGGGTGCCTCTGAACAGCTGCCCCCTGGCTCGGCGAGGTGCTGTCGTGACCAGCACGATCTCTGTCAGACCCGAGGGGCCTGCAGGAGGGACTGCAGCTCCCGGCATCTCTGAAAACCCGTTGAACCACCCGTCGCTGACCCCCCTCCCCCACTCCGGCCCGCATTGCCTCGGCTGTTCGGCGTTGCTTCTGGGTCGCCCCAGCCTCGCGCATCACGCCCTGCGGTGCTCGGCAATATTTGGCGCCCGTTCTATGGGAGCCTGCATGGCCCCCAGCGATGTCCAGTGTGGGCCTGATTTGGATCGCATGTGGAACAAATTTGGACCAGATTTAGACCAGGTTTGGACTGCAGTCGCGGGGACTAGGAGAAAGAGGAGGGGGAGGAGGAACAGGAGGGGAGAGGAGGAGCAAGAGGATGGGCCAAATGCGGTCCCCCAGGTGGTCCAAATGCAAGAAAAGCTGATTGCAGCGTCGCCGCCCAAGCTCCCATGAACAGACATCGACACAATCCTGTTGGCCTTGGGCAGGCCGGCCCCAGAGCAGGGCAGCTCAGCGGCCCAAGCCACGCGGCGTCCCTGTCCTCCTCCTCCTCATCATCCCCCTCCTCCTCTTCCTCCCCCTCCTCCTCGTCGATCCCTCCTCCTCCTCTTCTTCCTGCTGCGTCTCGCTCGTGGTATTCTGGTAGTCATCGTCCACTTCCATTTCCTTTGGGGCAGCTCCTTGCCATCGTCCTCCAACTCAGCCTCGTCTTCCTCCTACTCATCATCATCATCATCATCATCATCATCATCATCATCATCATCATCATCATCATCATCATCATCATCATCATCAGCATGAGTCAAATCGGCCTCGAGAGGCGGTCAGCCCTCGAGGCCACCTTGATTTCCACAAGTGAATGACACACGATGCTGAAAACAACCCTCCTCCTCCTGCTCCTCTTATCTCGCCCACCTCCTCGGCAATTGTTCGTAAACCGTTCTGGACCCAGGGCGAGGTTTGGAAGGTTGACCACCGCGACCTGCGCGAATGGCAGAAACAAGACGATAGGGGAAAACGGTATATATCAGAGGTTCGGGGGGGGAGATCGCAGCGGAATGGAGACCCCCAACTCGGAAATCGCTTCGTTTCGGTCGTGTCGTGCGTGCGGGCGAGGCGAAACTGCGTGGGCGCGCGAGAGGAATGAACCCGCCGCTGCTAGGGCGAAGTCTAAACAAAAAAAATATCCCCCTCCGTCCGTCCGTCTGGCGGAGGCCCTAGCGGTGTCCGGCGGGGTCCCGCGGTGTCCCGTGGTGTTCCGTGGTGGTGTCTCGTGGTGTCCCGTTGAATGAGACCGATGGTGAGATCGATCATGAGACCGAGAGTGAGATCGATACTGAAATCGATGTGGTGCCCCGAGGTGTCCTGTGGTGTCAAAAAAAAATGGATCGGTAAAGAGATCGACAAGTGTCCCGTGGTGTCCCGTGGTGTTCCGTTGAGTGAGATCGATACTGAGATCGATGTGGTGCCCCGAGGTGTCCCGCGGCGTCCCAAAAGGTGACGATAATGAGGTCGATATAATGAGATCGACAGGTGTCCCGTGGTGTCCTGTTGAATGAGATCGATAGTGGGATCGAGAAAAGTCCCGCGGTGTCCTGTGGTGTCCCGTGGTGGCCCGTGGTTTCCCGTGGTGTCCAGTTGAGGGAAATCGATAGTGAGATCGACAAGTGTCCCGTGGCGCCCCGTGGTGTCCCGTGGTGTCCCGACGAGTGAGATCGATCGTGAGATCGGTTGACTCGGATGTTGGTTCCCCCCTCTCCTCCCCCCACAACCTCCGCATCGCACGAAGGGTGGTCGTATAGGTAAATGTACAGAAAGAGAGAAAAAGAGAGAGAGAGAGAGGGAGAGAGAGAGACAGAGAGAGAGGGGAAACAAAAAATCAAAATCAGTGCAATGCGAAGGGGAAAATATGAAGGAGAAATAATATGAGATGGGCAAGGATAGGGAAACCGTGTTACTTCTCCGTGTCCTGCCCCGGTCCCACATCTCGATGTGACTGACCTCGGAAAGCCATTAAGAGACCCCTGTGTTATCGTTAGCACCGAACCCGAAATTAGTAATCCGCGGGAACGGATTTAGCGGTACGCTATCATTAGCACCGCACTAAACCGCAACACATGCCGAAGTATTGCCCCTCTCCGACAGCAAGTGCTCCTCCTATTCCTTCCGCCGGCCGTAAACATTCCATCATCACCGCCCCTGTTTCCTCATCCTGTTCGCTTGCCCCTCGCCGCTCCTGCCCTATACGACCCCAATACAAGAAATCAACGTGTTCGACCGTCCTGGGGGGAGGTCCACCCCATGAAATCGCACACGCCACGAACGGAGAGATATCGTAGCACTGGGGAACACCAAAACAGTAAATTCCCGTCTGCGGCTTAGCGGTTGAGGCACTTAATAATAGTAGAAGTAATAGTATTAGTAATAGCGTTATAAATAATAGTAGCAGCAGCCGAAGTAGTAGTAGTAGTAGTATGAGTAGTACTAATAGCCGTGGTAGAAATAGTAGTGGTCGTAGTAGCATTATAAGTCGTAGTAGTAGTGGTAGTAGTAGTAGTAGTAATAATAGTAACAGTAGTAGTAATAGTAGTAGTAGTAGTAGTGGTAGTAGTAGTAGTAGTAGTAGAAGTAGCAGTAGTAGTGGTCGCGGTAGCAGTAGTAGTAGTACTAGTAGTAGTAGTAGTAGTAATATTAGTAGTAATGGTAGTAGTAGTAGTAGTCGTAGTAGTAGTAGTAGTAGTAGTAGTAGTACTACTGGTAGTAGTAGAAGTAATCGTAGTAGTAGTAGTAGTAGTAGCAGTAGTAGGCGCAGTAGTAGTAGTAGTAGTAGTAGTAGTAGTAATAGTAGTAGTAGTAGTACTAGCAGGACTGAAACAGCAGCACGCGCAGTAGTACTAGTGGTAGTAGTAGTAGTAGTAGTAGTAGTCGTAGGAGTAGTAGTAGTAGTAGTAGTAGTAGTAATAGTAGTACAAATAAGAAATAGATGTATAGGCATAGTGATCGTAGTAGTAGTGGTAGTAGCAGTAGTAGTAGTGATAGAAGCAGCAGGCGTTGCAGCAGTAGCAGTAATGCAAATACCTCGAGTGGTAGAAATACTCGTGGAGGTCGTAGCACTAGCAGTAGTAGTAGTTGCAACCGTCGAGATGGAGTAGTAGTAGTAGTAGTCGTCGTTCTGGTAGCCGTAGTAGTAGTAGTAGTAGTATTACTACTACTACTCGTTTCAGTAGTTGTGACGGTAGAAGCCTTAGTAAACTTAAGAGGAATAACAGTAGCAATCCTAGTAGCAAAATGGTTATGAGTAGTACGTAATTGTGGTCGTGGCCGTAGTAGTTGTAAGAGTCGCCTGGGCAATCGCCGTCGTAGTAGTGACAGCAGCAACACAAATAATGAATGCAGCTGTATTAGTAATAACAGGATGCAGTATTGTTAGTAGTAGTAGTACTAGTCGTAGTAGTAGTAATAGTGGTACCAGTAGTAGCGGTAGCCGTAGTAAGAATAGTCGTAGTAGTCGTAGTAGCAGTAGTAGTAGCAGCAGTAATAGAATCGTAGTAGTAGTAGCAGAACTAGTAGTACGAGCAGTAGTGGTGGCAGTAGTAGTATCAATAGCAGTAGTAGTAGTAGTAGTAGTAGTAGTAGCAGTAGTAGTAGCAAGAATAATCGTCGTGCCTCTAATACTTATTTTGGTAGAAGTAGTGGCCGTGTGCGTGTAGTCAGAATAGTAGCCGTGGCAGTAGTACCACTACAAGACATGGCCAACGTAGTAATCAGAATGGTAGTGATAGCAGCCGTAGTAAACCTTGCGGTAGTAGCAATAGTAAGACCCATTACAAGTAGTAGTGGTAGCGCCAGCCACAGTATTCTGAATCGCAAGAGTAAGTATAGGGGCACTGGTAGTAGTTAGTACTTATACTCGTAGAACAATAGTGAGATACACCAGCTCGTTGCAGTAATAATACTTACCAGTAGCAGAAGTAGCACTGGCAGTCGTAGCAAGATTGGGGCTAGCCATACTAGTAATACTGAACGTACCCGAGTTGGGTCCCAGCAGTAGTAATATAGTGTTCGCACCATCGAGGAGGGTGGTAATGGCGGTAGTAGTAAAAAGATCCTAGTCGCTGTAGTAGTCGCAGTCGTGGCAATAATCGCAGTCATAATAGTAGAAGTAGTAGTCGCAAGCGTAGTCACAAAAAAAACGTGGGAGTGGTATTAGCAATCGAAGTCGGATTGGTAGGCGTGAGAGCAAGAGTAGTGACAGTAGTATTAGGAGTAATACTCGCATTCGTAATCGCAAAAGTTATAATCGTAGTAGTCGCAACCGTATGCTTCATAGAAGTCGTAGTGTAGTAACGGTAATACACGTAGTAGCATAAGTTGCCGTATTCGTGAAGTAGTAATGGAACTCATAGTAGTAGCACTAGTAGAAGTTGAGCTTGCACGGGCATTCGTAGCAACTTTAGTTGCAGTAGTAGTAGCAGCAACCGAGCTGACAGGAAAAGTAGTCACACGAAGAAAGCGAACAGCAATAATAACGGCACTTTCAATCGTGCAGGTAAGTGTAAAAGAACTATTCCTACTCGTGGTTGTCGTGATTGTAATAGGTGGTAGTAGTACTAGCACACGTGACCGTGATCCAGGAGTCCACGAAGTAGTAGTACTAGTAGTACCAGAAATAATACTTGTTGCAATCGTAATAGTAGTAGTAGTAGTAGTCGTAGTAATGGTAAGTAGTAGTAGTGGTAGCAATAGCGTTAGTATGAATGAGAATATAATGCGACTACGAATGGTAGAAATAGTAGTAATCGTAGACATAGAAGTCGTAGAAGTAATCGTGACAGTAGTAGCAAAAGTGACAATAGTAGCCGCGCTCGTAGAAGTAGTATTAGAAAAAGTAGATGTAGTAGAAGTGGCTGTAGTAGTAGAGATAGTGATCGTCATAGTAGACGTGAGAGTATTCGTAGCATAATACGTACTAGTCAGAGAAGAAATAGTAATAGTAGTCGTCGTACTAGTAGTAGTAGTAGTAACAGTAGTACTCGTAGTAGTAGTAGTAGTAGTAGTAGAAGTAATAGCAGCAGTTGTACTTGTAGCAATGGTAGTAGTAGTAGTAGTAGTAGTAGTAGTAGTAGTAGTAGTAATAGGAGTAGCAGTAGCAGTAGGTGTAGTAGTAGTATTAGTGGTAGTACTCGAAGTAGTAGTAGTAGTAGTAGGAGTCGCAGTAGTAGTAGTAGTAGTAGTAGTAGTAGTAGCAAGAGTAATCGTAGTAGTAGTAGTAATAGGAGTAGTAGTAGGAGTCGTAGTAATAGTAGTAGTCGTAAAAGTAGTAGCAGCAGTCGTACTTGTACCAATGGTAGTAGTAGTCGTAGTAGTAGTAGTAGTAGTAGTAGTAGTAGAAGTGTAGTAGTAGTTCTAGTAGTAGTAGTAGTAGTAGTAGTAGTAGTTCTAGTAGTAGTAGTAGTAGTAGTAGTGGTGGTAGTAGTAGTAGTAGTAGCAGTAGTAGTAGTAGTAGTAGTCGTAGTAGTAGTAGTAGTAGTCGTAGTAGTAGTAGTAGTAGTAGTAGTAGTAGTAGCAGTAGTAGTAGTAGTAGTAGTAGTAATAGTAGTAGTAGTAATTGTTGTTGTTGTGCTGGTACCCTTAGTAGTAGCATTCGTAAGAATAAACCACTGGTCTTTGTAGTCGTAGTCGTAACTAAAATCGTCTACTCCTCTTCCTCGTTCCTCCTCCTCCACTTTTTCCTCCTCCTCCATTTCTTTTTTCCTGTTCCTCCTCCTATTTGAGAAAGGTTCCACGTGCTGGGAGCTGGGTGCGTTATCCTGGAATGGGGGGGGTCCTTAATGGCGCCCCGAGGTCAGCGGCACGTCCCTGTCGTGAGGCGTATTGCTCACAACTCTGATGGGCGAACACATGAACGCAGAAACAATCAGGCGAAGATAGAAACAACGCGTTTCACGGGCGCTTGCCTTGGGAACTTTCGGCGGCACGTTTCAAACCGGTGGGTGGGCCGCCCCCCCCATAACTCGGCGCCATCGACCAAAACCAAGGAGACCCCCCTCCCCCCCAAACCCCCCCCCTCCCGAACCCCCCCCAGCCCCCCACCCCCTTCCCGAGGGGAGGGGGGGTTGAAACCCCCCCCTCGGCGCCGGCGCCGGCGCTGGCGGCCGCCAGCAGCGCCCACAGCGGGGACGCAGCAACGATGACCAGAGGGAGCCCAGGGAGGGGGGGGTTCAGCCCCCCCCCTCCCAGGGGGGGTGTTCAAACCCCCCCCACCCCCCCGTCGGCGCCGGCGCCGGCGCTGGCGGCGGCCAGCAGCGCCGGCGCTGGCGCCGGCGCTGGCGCCAGCGACGGCGGGGACGCAGCCACGACTACCACCACTACCATCACCACCTCCACTACCACCACCACCGCCTCAACCCACCACCACCGCCAACAGCACCACACCCACCACCACCACCACCACCACAGCAACCACCACCACCACCACAACCACCACCGCAACTCACAATCACCACCACCACCATAAAAACCCACCACCACTACCATCACCACCACAATCTACCACACCACCACCACCACCAACGCCACAACCACCAACACTACCAGCAGCACAACACCATAAACCACCACACCACCACGACCACCACCACCACCGACACCACCACCACCACAACAAACGTCCAGAAACCACCGCCACCACCACAACCCACCACCACCACAAACCACCACCACAGCACCACAACCACCACAACCACAACTCACCATCACCACCACCACAAAAACCCACCACCACTACCACTACCACCACAATCTACCGCACCACCACCACCACGACCGCCACAACCACCACCACTACAAACAGCACAACCCACCACCACCACAAACCACCACACCACCACCACCAGCACTGCCACCACCACCACAAACACCACCTCCACAAACCACCACCACAACCACAACTCACCGCCACCACCACCACAAACCACCACCACAGTACCACCAAACCACCACCACCTCCACAACCCACCACCACCACCACCCCAAACCACCACCACACAACCACTAAACCACCACCACCACCACCACCACCACCACCCACCGCCACAACCACCACCACCACCACAACAAACCACCACACCACCACCACCACCACCACCACCACCACCACCACCACCACAACCCACCACCACCACCACCGTCGTCGTCCTGGTCGACGCTCCCCGCCACCGCCGCCCGCCGCCGCAGGCGCCGGCGCCGGCCAAGAAATAGAAATCGTCGTCCCCACCGCCGCCGTCACCAGCCGCCGCCGACCCAAGCGCAGCGCCGGACCGAGGAGAGGGGACGCAGGGGGGGGGGGTCGACCCCCCCCCCGTCCGTCATGAGAAGGGGGGGGGGTTCGAACCCCTCCTCCTCTGTCACGGAGGGGGCGGGGGGGGGGTCGAAACCCTCCCCCCCCTCCATTCAGAGGGGGGGGGGTCTGGCTTCACCCCCCCCTCCCAAGCGACCACAGAACGCGCTCTTTCGAAGATAAGGGTGTTCAGGACGCCTGGGGAGATGGCGCAGGTGGTCCTTCCCCTCCCCAGCAAGCTGCAGCACCCGGCACACGTGCTGGGATACGACTCCTAAGGCGCAGCGTCGGGCGCCCTCTCCCCGCGTGGCGTGCAGAGATGGCCCACGCGTGGCCTGAAACCTCCCCCCGCGCCTGCCCCGCTCCGCCGAGCTCCCCCCAGAGCCGGCTCCTCGATCTCGCTGTCCTGCTTCTTCCGCTCGTCCGTCAGGCCCGCGACCTTGTCGCGCAGCCTCCGGTTGTCGGCCTTGAGCGCGTCGCGCTGGCACTGGCGGCCGTCGGCTCGTTTGCACCCGCAGGGGGGCCAGGACGGGGGCCCCCAGCGCCAGGGCATCGCAAACTTCCTCCCCGTTCCCTCTTCCTTGACGTCTTTGTTCTTCTCCTCCGCCTCCGCCGGGGATCTGCCAAAAATATCCAATATCGGGCCAGGCAAAAGGGGGGGATAGTAAAGGGGGGGCTTGAGACTCAGCTCACGTAGCTGACTTCCCCGGCGCCTTCCAGCGCCGGGAGGCGCGCCCACGTATCGAGGAATGGGCCCGGCGGCGGGGCCGCCAAACCAGCTGCGTGCAGCAGATGTCCGAACCCCCCCTTTCCCCATCCCCCTTTTTCGCTCGGCCCGAAAATACTCCAGATTTCGCCATAAAAGGGAGGGGGTCACAACCCTCACGGACGGGCAATTCCAGACCCCCCCAAACAAGCCATGAAGGGCGGCTTTTTGCCCAGACCCACTGGAACCCTCCAAGAGAGCTCAAATCTGACCCCATCCCACATCAGACCACCCCCCTTGTATTGTGAAATCTGGAGTACCATCGGGCGGGTGGAGATGGAGGGAGGCCCACGCTGGCCATCGCTCGGTTTCGTGCGTGGCTGGTTTGCCAGATAGTCCAAGGATGCTACTCGAGGGTCCTCGCCGAAGGAAAAATGCACACGTCCGAGCGATGCCAAGCACGTGGGGGGAGAAGGCAAAGGCCTTACGCAGGGCCCTGGAGGGCCCCTTGTGGAGCCCGCGGGGGCCCAACAGGGGGCCCCCTGTGTCGGGCCCTGCAGGGGCCCTTCGGGGCCCCATTTGTCGGGGATGGACAGACCCCCTTTTCGTAGAACGTGGTTTAGTGAAAACGACCTGAGGCCCAAACCTGGCGGGGGCAAGCCTGGAAAAGAACGGCCACGGAGCCCTCTCGAGAACCGAAAACGGACAATTCACCAATCGACGTGTCACTGTTGGGGGTTCTGTCCATCCCCGAATTTGGGTCACCCCCCAGTACCACCCGCCCGATACCGCTGCTCCAGAGACCTCTCTCGGGGCACGTCCTGACAATCGTGTCGGGGCGGATGCAGCGATGGCGACGAGAGCCTCCCAGGAGGCCCACGAAGGCCAGAACGAGGGAATGGTGGCGGTATTGGTACCTTTTCTTCCTCCTCCTCCTCCTCCTCCTCCTCCTCCTGCTCCTCCTCCTCCTCCTCCTCCTCCTCCTCCTCCTCCTCCTCCTCCTCCTCCATCTCCTCCTCCTCCTCCTCCTCCCCCTCCTCCGTCCCCGACGCCCGCACCTCAAGGGCAGACGCGTCCTCGGATTGCTCTCGCTCAGTGCTGCGTTGATCAAATGCACCACGCCGTGCCCGGTACCACATGGCCGGTCGACTCCACCTGATACAAAAGACCAGATGCGAAATACGTAGACATGTGACTGCAACTTTGCGAACACTTGAAGCTGCACTCCTCCCTTTCCTCTTCTTGACTGGCGCTCGGCAAGCTTAGTTTGACGGGGATCGCAGTGTTAATGTGGATGACAAGAAATTGCGGGATAACTTTGCTTCTCCTCATCCTCCTTTTTCCCTCAGGAATCGCCCCCTGACATGTCCAGGGGTGTGTTCTGATCAGGATGTCATCTGAAACTCAGCAATTGCGACAGGAGGCCTCCGCCGGGAGACCGGGAGCAGGCGAAACGCGAAAATCCGGATCCTCAGATCTGCCTCGTCCTCCCCCTTCTCCTCCCCCTCCTCGTCCTCCATACCTCTCGTCAGTCATGTCCCTGCCCCCGTCCGAGGCACTGCGACACGCCTCCAGCTCGTCCACCTCCCTGAGGACCTCCTCGAAGCGCGAGCGCAGGGAGGACTTCTTCTGCCGAGCGGCGGCCGGGGAGGCGTAGACGAGATCAGGGACTCTCCAAGATCTGGGCGTCGCATCTTTCTAGCACCGTGTGTTTTCCACTGGCCACGAAAAACCTTCGCGCCGAGCCGCGTACATACATGCGCCCCAAAGTTCCTATGGCTGCGGATGATTGCGCAAGGCGCTCTCTCGAAACCCGCGCGAATTCCTGAACACGCTTGTCTGCTGCTTCCGTCCTGGCACGGACCGCCTGGCTCCAGAGATGCTGCAGGAGGCTGGGGTCGAGGCCCCCAGTCGTGCTCTGCGGCCTCGCTGCTTGTCGCGACGTCGGGACTCTCAAGGGTGAGGGAGGCTGGCAAGGCGCAGACGGAGGAGGGAAAAGGAAAAGAGCGGGGGAAGGAGACGGAGAGGGAGAGGGGAAGCCCCTTGCCCCGCACTGCCTTCGGGTCGGACGAATGGGGAGGCTTCTACTGAGCATCGTTTGACCGATCCCCATCCCCAGCGGCGTGGCCTGGGCCCCACTGGCCGATTTACCCCCCTATATGGGGATATTAGGCCGTTCCCTTCGGGTTTCGAGGGGTGTATCCCCAACCGGGGTGGTAATTTGGTGGGGGCCTCGAAGGGGATGGGGATGGGGCTGGGAATCGGTTAAACGATACCGCACTGCCTTCAGGTCGGACGAATGGGGAGATTCCTAATGCGGGGGGGAGTGGGCGAAGCAGCTCCCAGGGCTGGCCCTCTCCCGGCGCCTCCCACGCCGGCGCCGCCGGAGGCGCTTCTGGCCGCGCTCGTTAAAAAACTTCGGCGAAACCGAGTTTCGGCTCACTCGAGTCTTACAGTCGGCGCGTTGACCTAACGAACGATAAATGAGGAACGAGGCCCCTTCTTTCCTTAAGTTTAACCTCGATTTCCATTCGAACACCGAAGGTCAAACTAAGGCAAACAGTCAAACAACCAAGGAACACGGAGCCCCTCCCAAACGAAAAAGGTTCCTTCTTCAGCGCCCCGAAAGTCCGTTTCCCCGACAGGACATGACCATCCAAGGGGACGGGCGCCAGCCCAGGACGCAGGACCTGCGTGGGGGCAAGCCAGGACGCGGCCAGGCCAAGGACAAGGGCGGCAGCGCAGGGGAGCTCTGCGGGATGTGACTTTGACAGCCCAGTCAGTGGAAGTCCTGCTTTGAAGGGGCCCTGGGACACACACACACACACACACACACACGTAAATAGACACAAATGACAGGATTCCCCATACTTTCTTTGTTTTTGTCTCCCCCCACTTCGGATATTTTCCCAGATTTTCCTGGGAGTCGGCGATGAATTGAGTCTGTGTGTTTCCCCTCCTGGCCTATAAAAGTCTATTCAATGGAAGTCCTGCTTGCAGAACGAGGCTTCCGTTGCCACACCACAAACGGCACCTGGAGCGAATCGGAGCCTGTACCCGCAACTTCCCCCAGGACCAATCAGATGCACCTAATTCTTGGCAAGCATTGGCCACCAATACGGCGGGAACGATATTTCCGACTGGCTGTGCGTCGGCAAGCACAGCAGCCGAGAAAAGGGAGGAAAGAGCAACGTCCAAAGGCAAACGACGGAAGTAGAGCCAAAGACGACGCAACATCGACGACGCAATTCCCTCACCACAAGGTCGACGACCAAACATGCTACAGACGATGTCTCACAAACGACCAACACACATGCCGAACCAACGCGACAAATTCGGACGTGGCTGTCGACGCGGCAACTCGGTGCGATAACCTTACGCGCGGCCTTCCGTGCATTTCGTCGGGCGCGCAGGACACTTGTTTGGTGGGCTTGGTGGGAGGTTCAACTTTGTGGACAGGGGTCGGGCTAGATCGACCCTCGCATTCGCGCTCTCTTGGAGCAGCGGCCGCGTCACCCACGGACAGAAGCCTGAGGCTGAGGAGGGCACAGGCGGCCATTTTCGAAGCGGCGTCCCAGCCTTGACGTGAACCTCGGGGCTCAGGAAAACAAGATGGTTGCTCTCCGCGCAGGCTCAGTCCGACAAAGTTTTGAAGATATGAACTGTTTGACCGTCCCAGTTGCGGCCTTAGAGGTTGGAACGTGAATATTGTCTCAAAAAGTTGATACAGATGGTTGTGTTCAATTTCAGCATAAGTTCGCCTACGATTGACCGATAGTCGGGTAAAGATAATAACAAACACAGGTGCAACAGCACCGAACGTTTGTCGCTTGAATAGTTGCAAGCAACCGTTGGCCACTTTAAAGTTTGCAATGTAATCGATTGTCGCTTGAACAGTTGCGACGCAACGATTTGCAGAAGTGCGTATGCCTGGTGAGTTTGGGCACGTAGTCACGCAACCGATTGTGGTTTTGTGGGTTGGCCATTTTGCGAAACATTCGACAAAAGGCGCAAACGATCGCAATGCTATGGTTTGGCAGGTGGCTTGGCCAAACCATTGCATTGCAATCGTTTCCGGCTCACCTCTGACTTGCAAGACATTAGGGCAACCGCACGTTTCACCAAAAAGACGACAACTGCACGCGCGTTCATGCATACCTCATTGAAGTCGCGGCTCGTGTTCAAAGTGCCCCACATCACCTCCCTGTCGGGCCTCTGGACCCGCTTGCTAAATTTAGGTCGGGCATGTCCCCCTACAGGCGGAGCTTGGGCGAAAAACTAAACAAGAAGCGCACAACACAAAGGCCATAACATAGTAAAACAGTACTCAAAACATCGTCCCCATACTAGTTCTCACAGTTTTCGAATATGCCTCCTGTAGAGGGACATGCCCGACTTGATACAACACCCCTCGGCGCTCTTTCGATTGAAACTCGAGGCTCGAATAGATCGACCCCCCGACGAGCGCAGGCCGCCCACGCAGCCGACTCGTGCCGCGCTCTCAAGTGCCCTTTTTGTTCAATCATGCATGGCAGCGCGTGGGCCCCGCGCTGGGGCTTGTGGGGACTCGAGCGAGCGCATGACAGCAAGGGCATCACACCAAAAAGACACCCCGATCCGTGGATGGTTTGACATGGGATCGATCAGGAGATCGATGAGGAGATCGACCGGGAACCCGTGAACCCGGACCCCCGGAACCCACCGAGGTCGGCCCAGAACCAATAACCAGGAACCTGGGAACCCAGAACTGGGAACCCGGGAACCCAGCCGGCTACCAACATCGGCGGGGAACGCTCGCCAGATCTTCCAAGATCCGCTGGGACCCCTTCAGTGCAAGCACTGGTTGGGGAATGAGTGACACACACGGATACGCATGGCAAACATAAAAACGAGGAGGAGGAGGAGGAGGAAGAGGAGGAGGCGGAGGAGGAGGAGGAGGGAGGCGGAGGAGGCGGAGGAGGAGGAGGAGGAGGAGGAGGATGCAAGCGGCGAAGGCACCACGACACCCCTGCGTTGGATGTCAGCTGCTTCTGCCGCCGGGTTTCCGGACGCAGACTGCAGAGAGGGGGGCCCCTCGGGGGCGCTCCATGGGGAAACCAAAAGGTATGCCGACACCGCTGCTCCTCCTCCTCCTCCTCCTCCTCCTCCTCCTCCTCCTCCTCCTCCTCGTTCTCCTCCTCCTCCTCTCCTCCTCCTCCTCCTCCTGCGCCTCCGCCTCCGCCTCCGCCTCCCCTCCGCCTCCGCCTCCGCCTCCGCCTCCTCCTCCTCCTCCTCCTCCTCCTCCTCCTCCTCCTCTGCCTCCCTCCTCCTCCTCCCCCTCCTCCTCTCCTCCTCCTCCTCTCCTCCTCCCCTCCTCCGCCTTCGCCTCCGCCTCCGCCTCCGCCTCCTCCTTCTGCCTCCCCCCCTCCTCCTCCTCCTCCTCCTCCCTCCTCCTCCTCCTCCTCCTCCTTCTCTCCTCCTCCTCCTCCTCCGCCTCCTCCTCCTCCTCCTCCTCCTCCTCCTCCTCCTCCTCCTCCTCCTCCTCCCCATCGGCGCCTCCGCGTCGTGCGCGCCGCCCTCGGGCCCCAGGCGCTCCAGCGCCTGCCGGAGCGCCACCGGCAGGTCCGCGGGCGGCGGCTGGGCGTCGGCTTGCCGGGGCGGCGCTGGCGCTGGCCGCGGGCGGCGCGCGCGCGCGGTCGGGGTCCATCAGAAGGTTCAGGAGGGGGCGGGCGTGAGGCGGACCCAGACCCAGGTGTTTCACTATTGTCGGCCTCCGGGGGCCCGCACTGGGCCTCGGGACCGTCAACCAACGGTTCAAGAGGAAAAACCGGTCTCGGGGAAGGGGTCCAGACCTCTGGGGGTCGACGTTTTGAAGAAACACAACGTCGGGGGTCCAGGGAGGGGGGAGGGGGAAGGGACCGGGGTCGGGCGGCGCGCGCGCAGTCGGGGTCCATCGCGCGCTTTGCGGAAGTGTTCAAAAGTTTGCGCAAGGCTTCGAGGCCTGGGGTGGTGTCCATCAACTGCGCTTCGTCGCGGGCGTGCGGGCGGTGCCCAGCATGCTGCCGAGCAGATGCCAGAGAACGCATATATGCCCCGAAAGGCCAGGTCACCAACGGTATCTTTTTTTCTCAACCATCTTGGGTCCTCGTTTTGATTTTTATATATAATGATATATATAACCGAAAAACGCGTTCTCCTCATACCGCTGCTTTCCTCCTGCTCCTCCCTCTTCCAATCCCTGCCTCTGCTATCCGCACCCCTCCTCCTGCTCCTCCCTCCTCCCATCCCTGCCTCTGCCCTCCGCACCAGTCAGCCATTTCGGCACACCCCTCGCACGTTTCGTGGCCCCATGGCTCCACCGAAGGCCCCAGTGGCTGCGTTCGCTTGCGCCCACCGCACGAATTTTGACACACCCCGTGCACGTCTCGTGGCCCCATAGGGAGCTCCACCGAAGGCGCGTTTGCTTGCGCCAACCGCGCCCATGTCGACACACCCCTCACACGCTTCGCGGCCCACAAAGAGCTCCACCGAAGGCCCCAGTGGCTGCGTTCGCATGTTTCCACCGCGCCCAAGTCGGCACATCCCTCACACGCTTCGTGGCCCCATAGGGAGCTCCACCGAAGACGATACTCACAGGGAACCGACTTCAATACACCGACGCGGTTTCTGGCCCTGCATTGAAATTTCCACAGGAAAGCGGATCCGGTTGTACACGGGGCCATTGTTTCCTCGGGAAACGGACCCAACCAAAATACATCACGCCACCTCGGCGTCGTCCCCAACTCTCATATCATCCTGGGATTGAAAAACAGCCCGCCACTGATAATGCATGGGTTCCACATCCCGAGCAACTGCGGATGGGGCGGGCGCGGGTTGGGTCGCGAGGCGGGTCCGCCATCGTCCTTCCCAAAGATCCCGGCGATGCAAGCAACCGTGGATACCAATGTGTTGTCGTCTTCGGCCTCCCGAGGCCGATCTACCGGCCGAGGGGACGTCAGAGAGGGCCCAGGATGGAAAGCCGACCCTGGGGAAGCGGTCGAGATCCCCGAGGACCCATGCCGCCAAACACTTGCGCCGACCAAAGCGCGGGACGTTCGTCGCCAGCGTGGCCATCAGCATTGGGCACGGAGGAGGCCCTCGTCATGGAGCACTCCGACTCCCTGCTCCACGGTACGATGCGTTCAGCCCGGGCGCTTGTCTTTGGTCTCGGCCTTTGGGGCCCGTTCACCACGATGGGTCTTTTTACCTTCCCCCCGAGGAGACGGAGGAGGAGGCGGAGGAGGAGGAGGAGGCGGAGGAGACGGAGCAGGAAGAGGAGGGGGGGGGAGGAGGAGCAGGAGAGGCGGAGTTGTTCATTCCCCGACGAGAGAAGCAGGGGGGGGAAGCAAAGGATACTGCACCTCGGGGCCCTCGAACTGGATGCGGGGCGAAGAGCTGGCCCCGGAGGAGAAGTCGGGGCCCCTGGGGCCCGGCCTCTGAAACACTCGTACACAGTAGGGGGCTCGACCACAAGAAACCGTCCACAAGAAACCCAACCATGAGACCTCCCACAAGAAACCTCCCACAAGAAACCCAACCGGGGAGTGTGCGAGGGCCCGCCCCGATTGGCAAAAGACTGAGAATAAAAAACGCTCACGAACCTTCCACGAGAAACCCAACCCTGGGACCCCAGGACGTCCACTGATTTTTGGCGCGGGAACGTTACGGCTTCCATCGCAAAACCATCGAAACCCAAGAAGCCTAGGGCACCCTGGAGGCAAGCAGGGTGTTTCTTGGCGTGGCCCCCCTCCCTGTCCCCTGCCGTCGGACCCGATGCATTGCCCGCGCGTTGAGGCGGTCAAGAGCGTGAGCCTTGCGATTGATCGGCGTGGGCCAAGGGCCACCCAAAGACCCCTGCCCGACACGGAGGCCCGCGAGGCGTCACTCCGTCAACCCTCCGCCACGAGAGTGCTTCTTGGCATGGGCCTCCACTGTAATCTTAGGTACGGCATGTCCGCCTACAGGCGGATTTTGGAAGAAACAAAAATAATCGAACAATCCTCTCAAATACACTCGGTGCTTTGAACATTATTGTGACTTCAGCTGTCAGCTATTGTTCCGTGTCTTCTCCCACGCAAGCATCCCCCCAACAAATACACAACGCTTGCATTCACGAGTTACCATGCTTGTCTAAGCAAGTGGTTGGATTTCCCATCGGTTCCCGCGGCGCCAGCCCAATGACTCCTCACAAAGTCAAACAACGTTGTCAACATGCACTTTTGGCGCTCCGCGCGGATTTCTTGGACCTGCGCTGGACCCCCCTCACTGGCGCGCGGAGCGCGCCAGGGGCGGCGCCGGAGGCGCCGCAGGGAGGCCCAAGTGCCGATCCAAGCAATCCGCGCGGAGCGCCAACAAACGTTTATGCGTGTGTTTTTTGTTTCTTCTTCGCGCTTCGAACGCAATGTGGACATTCCGGATGTTCGCACGGCGATGTTTCGTGCACTGGCCGCGTCTTCTGGGCTCTCGCCGGGCGCCTCGCGGACGCCTCGTGCGCTGGCTGGGCCTCACTGCGTCACGCAGGCTGCGCGCCGCAGGGCCTCTCCTATCATCATCATGATGATCATCATCATCATCATCATCATCACCACCACCACCATCATCATCATCATCAACACCACCATCATCATCAGCATCGTCATCATCATAATGATCATAGTCAGCCTCAGCATCATGAGCCGCATCAGCATCAGCATCAGTATCAGCACCAGCATCAGCATCAGCATCATCATCATCAGCATCATCATCAGCATCAGCACCAGCACCAGCACCAGCACCATCATCATCAGCATCAGCACCAGCACCAGCACCATCATCATCAGCATCAGCATCATCATCATCCTAATCGTGCGCCTCAGCGTCTGGCGCCTGAGACAACAACGATGCCTGCGTACACCACAAAGCCTGTGTACACCCCCCCCCCAGGGCCCCGACGGAGCCAAAACACCGATACATTCGATCTAGGTACAAGCCTATCAGATTTCACCTCTGCGCTGTTTCTGCTTACTGATGCTCTGGCCCGTGGCACGGTTCTCCCCCTGCATGGTGGGCCCGCAGTCCCCGCGTGCAACACGGTGGCCGTGCACACCGCAGCGCTCGCGCAAACGAGAAAACCTGGTGTGCACAACTGAAGGGGCCCCAGGACACACAAATAAATACACACAAATAAAAGGATTCCCCATATTTTCCCATATGTTTTGGGTATTTGTCTTCCCCCCCACTTCCCATATGTTCCCATATTTTCCTGGGAGTGGACGATTAATTTTGTCTGTGTGTTTTTTCCCCTCCTGAACAACGCTGGCCGTAGACACGACAGCGCTGGTAGCCACCAGCGCCGCGCCAAGAGCGCCCTACCGACGCCTCTGAGCAACAGAGAGAGCAGCACTGCGTCCACGAACGCACCCCATGCCCGTGAGCGCCGCTCTGCCTCGCGAGTGCCACAGCATGCGCGTGAACACCACAGCATTCATGTGAACACCACCATAGCATGCGATCGCTACACTACGCCCGTGGTCGCCACGGGACGACCGCCGTGCGGTGATCTGGGAGGGGGAGGGGGAGGGGGCGAGCCGATCACGAGCCGTATCGCCTAAATGGAAAAACAAACTCCTAGATTCAATCAAGAAACCGTGGACAAGACTAACCGCTCCGGGTGTCACCGCTCATGGGACCGCCCGCGCGGGTGTGACACTGAGGGGGGGCGATAGAAGGGTCCGCCTCAGGGGAAGGAACCAACATCGACTCGGAACCCGAAAATGCAACGCCGATGGATTGGCGACACGGTCCGCGAAAACGAACCCCCAGGCTCCCCGGAGAGGTGGACCCTGAAAGGACCCTGGAAACGACAGGGCCGTTTTTTAACCGGTTCCGTTTTGCCGTTATTTTGCCGGTTCCGACGCCGTTTTTTGACCGGTTCCGTCGCCGTTTTTTGACCGGTTCCGGCTCCAGTTCCCATCCTGGAGCCGTTTTTGTTGCCGTTTCCGGTCGCCATTTTTTTGCCGTTCCCATTTTCAAACGGTGGAAAAACGGCCCTGCCGTTTCCGGGGCCCACAAAGGGTGGACCATCGGGCCCCCCTCGACGATCCAATGGCGATCGGGGGCCGAATGCAGTCCCGCCCGAGTCGGGGCCGCGCGGGCACGGCGCAGGGGGGTCCGTGGATCCGGCGCGCGGGCTCCAGCTCCACGGAGGGGGGAACGCACCCCCCCAACACACACACACACACACACACACACACACACACACACACACACACGTTTTTTTGGTCTGCGGGTCGAGAGCGAGCCTCTTCCGGTTAAAAGCTAGGCGGGCTACGCAAAGCTCTAATTGGGGAGACAGGGCACAGGAAGGCGGGGCCTCAGGCGGCCGGAGCGGGCGGAGCCTGGGGTGCAGGCGGTGCCGAAGAGCTTGCACAGGAAAAGGTACGCCGCGGACAGGGACCGGGGGCGAAGACCCGGAAGGCGAAGGAGATGGTGTTACCCCCCAACACACACACACCCACACACACACACACACCTGCTGCCTCATTTGGCAGCGGAGCGCGTCGATTCTGCCTGGGAACCTGAGCATGCTCTTTGGGTGCAGGGCTTGATGCGGACTCGGAACGGGCGTCGCCCACTGGACTGGTGGCCTGCAAGAGGAACAGCACGTGGCGCGGCGGCATGCGTGCGCGCAACGGTGGGCGCCTACCACTTCGCCATCGCCAATTTTACGGCCTCGTGTGGATAGATAGTGAAGTGTCACCGTGGTCTGGGAGCCATCGCGCGGGGCCCCACGAGCGGGCGACTGGCGCACGGCATGTGAGCAAGCACGCGGCGGACGCCCGACTCGGGCAACTGAGAGTGCGAAAAGGCGCCCGAAAGGTGGATCCAGAATCCAACGATCGCTCTTTCGTTTTCTGCAACATATGAAGATTTGCAGACATGGGTTGACCACTCTGGAAGAATTTCGTGCCTGCGCTGAATATCTGTATGAAGCTCGAGAACTTCGTTCTGCAGTCTGGAACGGCGATTGTTCTTCTAGAAAGCAGGTGGCGGCTCTAGACTTGCCATCTAAACATTGTTCTGCCTTTCGAAATGCTCTTTTGGCGGTTCGGGGGGAAACTCGGGTGAATGATGTCCGTGGTGAAACTTGCAGGGCCTCAGTGAGTGCGACGGGAAGAACTCTTGATTGCCTGGAATGGCCCGTCGCGCAATCGGGCACTGCGTCCGCTCGGCGCGAGCTTGCGTCGGCGCAGAAAATCACGCCGACCCCGCTGCCGCAACTTGCCCGCAACGGTCTCGCAGAGGAAATGAATGGTTAGCGATGTAATTTTGGCCGAATGGCAGTTGGCATGTGTTCCTCCGAAGAAACTGCCCCGGAAACGGCACACGTCGCTAATCCACGCGCCTCAGTCCATGGCGGCGGTTCCTCGACTGTGCCTCCTTCCCGTGACAATCTAGGCCTCCAAGATGGGGTCCGAGTAGATGGGGTCGAAGGATCGCGCCGCATCGTCCATGCATCGCCGATGCATCGCCGATGAGCGCTGCATCGGCGATGTCGGCGACCGATCCGCGACGTTGGCGCGGGAATGTCGGGCGCCGCATCGAGCCTTATCGCCGATGCATCGGCGGTGCGGCGCGATCCTCATCTGGGAGGCCTAGAGACATAGGCCTCGTCCCCACGGGCCGCGGGCCGGCAGAGCAGCCGCACGACAAGCAGACGCGCGACGGGGAGCACACAACACCCGGCCTGCACGGTTTCCCCCGGGGCCGTTGGCGACCTGAGGAGGAGCAGGAGGAGGAGGAGAAGGAGGAGGAGGTGGAGGAGGTGGAGGTGGAGAAAGAGAGGAGGAGGGAGGAGGAGGAGGGGGAGGGGGAGGAGGAGGAGGAGGTGGTGGTGGAGGTGGAGGAGGAGGAGGAGGAGATGAGGAGGAGGGGAGGTGAGGGGGGGAGGAGGAGGGGGAGGGGGGAAGAGGGGGAGGAGGACAAGGAAGAGGAGGAGGAGGAGGAGGAGGAGGAGGAAGAAGGAGGGGGGAGGAGGCGGTGGGAGGAGGAGGAGGAGCTGGGGAGGAGGAGGAGGGAGGAGGAGGAGGAGGAGGAGGGAGGAGGAGGGGCAGGGGGAGGGAGGAGGATGAGGAGAGAGGAGACGGACGCGTCGCCTGAGCCCTTCGGAGAAACCCTCCACGCCCGGCCCCCTGCAGAGTGGCCGCACGGCGCGTGCCTTGGAGCGGCGGCGCCGGGGGTGGCAGGGGCGGCGGCTGCGAGTGCCCCGGGGCCGGGGGCGCGAAGACGGAGTCCTCCGGGGAGCACGCGGCCCTCGAGGCTCGAATAGGGCCCTGGGAGATACAAAGAAAGAGACGACAGAGAACAGGATCCCCCATGATTTCTCTCACACATTGTCAGGCTTCTTGCCTTCCCCCCCCACACTTCCCGTATTTTCCCATCGTTCCCTGGGGGTCGACGATCAATTGCGTCTTTGTGTTTTATGCTCCTCGGCTACACGCAAGAGTGACCCTGGGTAAGAGTGACCTTTGGTGCGCGGCTTTTGGGGGGCCGCGGTGGGACCAAATCCAATCGCGCAAGACGCCACTATCGCATCGCGTTCGGCGATCGGGGGGCCCCAATGGGCCCGCACCAAAGATCACTCCGGCGAAGGGCCACTCTTACGTCCAGTCAAGCTCCCGCTCCGGAAGGATGGAGGCTCGAGCGCTGGAGGTCCGAGGGCCGGGGCTCTCTCCGGCGCCTGCGGGCGCCGTGGGGCGCCCTCGTGGCCACGGCTACTTCTCGTCGTAGGTCGGTCGTGTCCCCCTGCAGGCGGGTTTTTTGGGCGAGAAATTCACGACAGACTGCACCCAAACAGTCAAAACATAACCCATTCCCCCTGCAGGCGGGTTCTTTGGGCGAGAAATTCACAACAGACTGCACCCAAACAGTCAAAACATAACCCATTCCCCCTGCAGGCGGGTTCTTTGGGCGAGAAATTCAAAACATACCGCACCCAAACAGTCAAAAACAATCCACTCCCCCTGCGGAGGGACAGGCCCGACTCGAGCGTGGCCCTCGAGGATCGAGGCTCCAGCCGGAGGTTCGGGGGCCGAGGCTCTCCGACGTCTGCGGGCGCCGTGGGGCGCCCCGGTGGCCACGGCGACTCCCCTCGGAATCCCGGCTCGGGTCGGGCGTGTCCCCCTGCAGGCGGGTTTTGGGCGAAAGATAACAAACATACACCAAACATATTCAAACAACGATCAAGCATGATCCAAAAATCGTCCCAGACTATGTCTTGACGATTTTTGGATATATATATATATATATATATATATATATATACCTCCTGTAGAGGGACAGGCCCGACTTACATCCTGGCCAAAACGCTCTCCCCTGGACCTCAACGGGCGATTTTGCACCCCCGGGCCACCCCTCGCCGTGGCAAAGCCACGGCGGCGGCTTTTTGCCAATCTGCCGCCTCGTGGTGGCCCTGGAAGGGGCAGCGCGCCAGCGGCATCGAAGCTCGCGCCACGCCTCATCGGAACCGGCGGGATCTATTCCCCTGCCAGCTTACTGTGCCTGTCATTGCCAGTTCACCTACGAAGCATGGCATAATGGCAGCCCCCCGCTTCTCAAAAATGCTGAAATCGGGGTGTTGGAGGGCGGTCCGTGCCACTTCGGTGTCACTCACGTGGTCGCCTCGTCCACGCTCCAGTCAACCCCTGGTGACGACTCCACCCGTGACGCCACAACGTTACATGTGGCGCTGTGGTGTCACTCATGCGATCACGCCCTCTCCCCGCTCCCTACCAGGGTGATGGTTCGACCGGTGCCGCCGCGGCGTCACGTGTGCCGCCGCGATGCCACTCATGTGGTCGTTCCCGCTCCCCGCCCCTTCTGTCACGTGAAACATGGCACAACAAATCTCCCACTCGCTGCTGCTCTGCCCGTTCGTCTTCGTCCTCCTTCACCTCCCCCTGCCTCCTCCCTGCCTGGTCCCCTCTCCTTCTCCACCTCCACTCCCCGTTCCCGGGAGTTGGGGGTGGCCGAGCCTTTTTGAGGTCTCCTGCCAGGATTTCGCGAGCGCCGTCGAGGCTTGCGGACAAGCTGGGGGTCATTGCCAACGAGCGCGGAACACGCGTTGTTACAAGCAGCGCTGACGGCTGGGGGCAGGACGATCGGTGCGAGGTTAACAACGCTTCTCTTCTTTGAGCACGGACCGACCGTTAGGCCTACCGCGACATGTTCTCAGAACAAAAACAACGCTCTTAGAACATGAACCCGAAGCACTGACACAAGACAGTCCTGGCCAGAAATGCCCTAAGAACTTCTCGTGGGAACCACAAAGTTCTTGGAACATTGCTTGGTGGGCCTGTAGGCACGCCAGGACGCTTCGCCACCGCTTGACATCTCTGAAGGGGCCCTGGGGCACACAAATAAATCCACACACACACACAGAGAACAGGATTCCCCATAGCTTCCAATCTGTTCTGGGCTCTCGTCTCCCCCCCACTTTCCAGAGTTTCCCATGTCTTCCTGGGGAGTCGACGATTCATTGTGTCCGTGTGTTTTCGTCCCCCTCCTTCGAGGCCTCCTAGATGGGGTCGGAGTAGATGGGGTCGGGTCGGAGGACCGCGCCGCATCGCCAACACATCGGCGATACATCAGCGATGCATCGGCGACGCATCGGCGATGCACCGGCGAGGAGGCGTTGACGTCGGCGATGTATCGGCGACGTCGGCGTGGAGAAAATCGGGCCCCGCATCGAGCCGCATCGTCGATGCATCGGCGATGCTGCGCGATCCTCCGACCCCATCTGGTCCGACCCCACCCGGGAGGCCTGTACTCCCCGAATCCTCTTGGGGCACCGGCCCCGCGCTCCGCCGCTGGCCCAGTCCACCGCGCCCTTGGGGGGGGGCACGGCCCTTATACCAGCCTCGAACGTATCCCTCTCCCTGAGACTGACACGCCAAAAGGCGATGACAATCTTGGGGATTCGCCCTCAAAGAATAAGGGAATCCCTAAGATTGGCATCGTGACGAGGAGGTGCCCAGCATAGGGATAGGGATATGTTCCAGGCCGGCACGGCCCCCGCCCCGAGCCGAGCCCTCCAAAAAAGGCTGCGCGTGCTCGCGGCTACTCGCGGGCCGCCGGCCCCGTGGCCGGCGTCCGCACCTGCCGTCGGCCCCCGGGGCTACGGGCTGCACGCGAGTCGGGGCCCTCGGAAGGGGCCCAGGGACAGACACAAACGCATGTGTGTATACACACAGAGATCCCAGATTGTCCCATACTTTCCCAGATTGTGTTGATGCTCGACTTCCCCCACTTCACACCGTTTCCTATATCTTCATGGGAGTCGACGATGCATTGTGTCTGTGTGTTTTTGTTCCCTCCTCATCCTCTCCCCTCGGGGACTCATGGCAAACATGCGTGTTTGTGCATTCTGTCGGGCGTGCTTCTTTGGGGGGTGCTTCTGTTTTGGCTGTCCCCGCCGATCCTCGGCTTCGCCGGCCCCAGGGGGAATACCGTCGGCGGAAAACTGGGTCACCGAACATCTGTCTGGAGTCTATCCGTGCCTCGAGAACGCCTCGAGACAATGTGAGCAGGGCTGTCCGACGAACGTGGCCTAACGGAACCTCTCGCTGGGGGGGGCTCTTTGGGTTGGTTCCACTTTATTGCGCCCAGGCGGAGGCGGACGTATCCCGCCCCC